CCCTGGGACCTGGTGCAAGATAATCGTCGCTGGTGTTGGCCGTGAGCGGGAATTGAACTCGGGACTCCGGGTCTGTAGCGCAGCGCGCTAACCGCTACACCACCGCTCCACACACGCACACAGACACCGGTAGCGCAGCGCGCTAACCACTACACCACCGCTCCACACACGCACACAGACACCGGTAGCGCAGCGCGCTAACCGCTACACCACCGCTCCACACATGCACACAGACACCGGTGGATAAGACTCACCCTATCCAACGTTGTTTTAAATACGGGGTGTAAGAGGAGGATATACGGTATGTATGACCATCGAGGTATATATTATCTGGAGAATACGGTATTAATTACCGTTGTTAATTCACCGTCGGATGAAGGCATCACGACCCACGTGGTGTCGGTCACCGGGGAGGGAGTGGATCGTTTGACCATACTTCACCACGCTGGTCAGTACGGGTTTGTGAACGTGGCGGAAGGGAGCGGGGATGTTGTGGGTGGTCACGGGGGTCGGGATGGAGTGAGGATTCAGGACAGGTGGGGGGGGGGGGGGTGTTTGAGAAATGTGACGTCACATCAAAATGCGCAACTTTAAATAAATATAGACAACACGTTCTACTTAATTAAATAGTGCAGCGCCACATTAAATACGCACTACAATGACAATAGTTTAAAGCGATTTGAAGCATGTTTTATTTTAGGGGGGAGGGGGCAGAGCTTTGTGACGTCATATTTGAGGGGGGGTCTGACTTTTTGTGAGGCCGTGTGACGAGGGGGGGGGGGTCAAAAATCGTCCAAAATCGCGCGACGTCATTTATGGACGGCCCCTTATAATCAGTATAAACGGGTGCAACACAGTTGAGTGATTGGTGGGAAGGTCGCGTGCGGTGAGGTCAAGTGTCGGTACTTCCACCCCCTTCCAAGTCGTCAGGCCAGTGGGGAAGATTCAAAATTAATATCTCTATAAAATTAATATCTCTAGAACTGCTTTTTGTGATTAGTTTGGTGTCCTTCCCCCTGCACCTCCGATTAGGACGGTTGGCTACGTACCGTGCGAAAGAAGTTCAACATACATACGGTAAGATAGGTGTATCTTAATTATGGTTAGGCGTTCCGAGTCCCATCTTAAGTGGCAGTGCCTTACACAGATAATAATAAACAGGTCCCTGCAGGGTGGGCTGGTAGGACAAGTCTCTGCGCTGTCTATTGCTGATTTTACACCCAACAGCACGAGATTTCACTTCGTTAAAGTATTGAAAGGGGACGGACGGACGGACACATTAATCTATTGCAGGCTGGTACACTCAGTTTACAACTTCGTTCCTACCAGTATAATCCCCCGTCAAAGGCAACAGAGCTGCCGGGAATTCTCTCTCTCAAATTTAGCAATCTTTGGAAGAACGTAATCAACCAGGTATGTTAGCCGACTATCTGTGTTGTATTGCATTATATTTCTAAGTTTACTAGCTTTGTTTTCTCTTTCATTTGTACCTGCTGATGATTGCTTGTGTTGGCAATCGAAACGTCGTATGCTATTATTTAATTTCTTTTTTCTTTCTACGTGACTTCACCGAAAGAACCAAAGAGTAATTCCTGCAGTCACGAAAGCATCCAAATCAAGTTTGCGAAAGTCAAGTTTACTATGAGAAACTAAGAGACCAGGATGAGTCTCGTTGTAAAAGTGTGACCTGCGGCATCGGTGCGTCGTCAGTAGGGGGCGGCGATTGCCGCTGTGTTTGCAAAATTTCAACCCGAGTATTATTCGGTGTCATTTTCGAAATTGAAAATATTGGACCCCCTGAAGCCGGCACACATCGGCATCGTACCTGTCAATTTTCTTATCAGTGTGCCCTACTTTATTACAGACCAATTCAGACCCCGTGCCTTTTATACATCTCAACGTTCAATCTACACAGTCACATCACAAGGGAGAAACGCAAACAAATAAGACACATTTTTCGATTTAAAGCTTTCGTGACTGCAAGGATTCATATTCTTGGTTCTTTCGGTAAAGTCCCATTCTAGGTGACTTTACCGAAAGAAACCAAGAAGAAGACACATTTTGTTTTGCCCGTACTGAAACGGCTGTACGCCGTATGGACCTGAAAACTCAATTTCCCTGTACAAGAATACGGGTTAAACCGTCGCATGGGTTGACAGCTGTGGGCCTCCTCGTGCGAAAGACGTCACAGGATCTACAACGTATCAGTGTGAAACAGACGGCGCGTGCTATTAACGGAATCCGAATATTTTTTTATTTAAAGCTTTCGTGACTGCAGTGATTCATATTCTTGGTTCTTTCGGTAAAGTCACGTAGAATGGGACTTTACCGAAAGAACCAAGAATAGGAAGCAGAATATGTCAAGGCCGTAATTATAATAAATATATTAGGGGGGGGCATATCCCCCCCCCCCCCATATTCAAATATGCAAAAAATATCCCACCAAATATATTGCTATAAAATAGATTTCTGTTTATATGATTGTGGTAATGGTTGTACTTTATTAATCCCTAATCTCTGCCATTACATACAATGAAACAAGGGTAAAAAATAAATAAACAGAGCAATGTAATACTATACACTATTAGACATTATTGTAAAAAATAGGCAGGAAATTCGTTTTCAAATAGTGATTTTTTTTCTGGGGGGGGGGGACCCCCACACACCTTGGAAGATTTGGTCCCCCCCAATGTTGACTCCATGGCTACGGCCTTGGAATATGTATTTATACCGGAGGAATCCGAATAGGTTATGAAGCTCTTTTTTTGCCCCACAGATATCATGGTGGTTGCATCCGCAGTAATAACTAGGGTGGCCCCTGGATTCGAACCTCTGCAACAAGCGGCCAACGCCCTATCGCTAGACCACGCGGTCTAGCGGGCGGAGCGGAGGCGCAGTGGTTGGAGCGCTGAGAAATTAACCCGGCAACCCGAGTTTGATTCCGAGCCACGGCTGTAACATCCGTGGTGGGTGATATGAAAACCGGTCCTGTCCTTCCCATCCATCAACCCGAGCTAACCAGCGTGGAGAAGTATGGTTAATTTGGTCAAACATACCTTCCCCCACCCTGTGATCATCAACATGACAAAGGGAGGGGGGGTTGGGGAGCTTAATCAATTGGTGGATTTTAAATGGATGGAATGTATTGATTCTATATTTAAATTAAGTCACGGATCGGCAGTGGCGACTGTGTAGAGGGAGTCGAACCCATCCGTTCCTTGCACTGAGGCTTTGGTCTCGGCGTCATCATGAACCAATGCAGAGGGGAGCGTAAGGGATCGATGCGCGGGGAACCCTACGGAGGACCATGGATACAGCAGAAGCAGCAGCTGCGGCTGCAGGGATGGGCACGCAGCCATGGAAATTTCCGGTATGGGTCAGATACGGGCCAGGTACGGGCCACGTACGGGCCAGGTATTGCCTAGAACCCCTAGATATGGGTCATGTATGGACCCGGTATGGCTTAGGTATATGGCATAGATATGGGTTAGGTATGAACCAGTAATGGGTCAGGTATGGCTTAGATATATGGGCTAGATATGGACCAGTGTGGGCCAGGTATAGTCTAAATAGCCTGGATATTGGCCAGGTATGTTTATTAGGTATAAACTAGGTATATGATCTAGATATGAGCCACGTATGGGTTCAGTATGGGCCCAGTATGGGTTAGGTATGGGCCAGGTATGACCTAGGTATATGGGTTAGGTATGGGGCAGGTATGGGTTAGATATGGGCTGTATATATAACCTACTATAGATATGGGTTATGTATGCGTTCCATGTGGGTTTGATACGGACCAGGTATGGGATTGGTATTGTTTTCAACAATCATTAGCAGTCATTGTTTTTTTGAGGTGTCACCGAGACCGACACAGTATGGGCCAGGCATCACCACGTTATTACAGCGCTTATGTCGCTCTACTGCTGGATGAATGCCTCTCTACGTGTCTGTCGTGTGGGGTTGCGTGACCATATTTCACAAGGCCGGTCGGTGCGGCTTGTTAAGGCTTTGATGATGACTCATTCATCCAGCAGTAGATAGACCAAAGCCACAATGCATAGAAGGTATTTTATTTAACCTCAGACCTGGCATCATCACCATGAGCTGCCCGCTGCAGGAATCTCCGGGTTACTGATCACTCCTTCATCTGGTGCTGATGATGCGAGTTTAAGTCTTGGTTGGCGGTTGACTAAGCCCATCATCCCTCCGGGGTCTATAAAATTAGTAACACTTTGTGTTAGACTCGCCTCCCGCCATGGGCACGTGGAATTTCCATCACTGTCTGTAAGTCGGAGATGAGCGCACCGCTTCAAAGCTCAATTTGACCAGGTAAACATTGTATTAGTTACTTTCTTCTTTTGGCGATGATCATGACGCGTTCATCCAGCAGAAGATACACCACGGCCGGTGGAGATGATCATGGTTAATCTCGCAATACGCGCGTAAACATACAACAAGCAGACGATACCCTTACACCGCCATTCCCATATTCCTAGGAGATGTTGACTACCTCGCCTGGTACACAGGAGGTCGTGGGTTCGATCCCGTACCCTGACGATGCTTGCTGCTGCATAATTGGAGTCTGCGTCTCTCTCTCTCATCATCATCACGGTGGCTGGGAGATGTTAACTACCTCGCCTGGTACACAGGAGGTCGTGGGTGGCTAGGAGATGTTGACTACCTCGCCTGGTACACAGGAGGTCGTGGGTGGCTATGAGATGTTAACTACCTCGCCTGGTACACAGGAGGTCGTGGGTGGCTAGGAGATGTTGACTACCTCGCCTGGTACACAGGAGGTCGTGGGTGGCTATGAGATGTTAACTACCTCGCCTGGTACACAGGAGGTCGTGGGTGGCTAGGAGGTGTTGACTACCTCGCCTGGTACACAGGAGGTCGTGGGTGGCTATGAGATGTTAACTACCTCGCCTGGTACACAGGAGGTCGTGGGTGGCTAGGAGATGTTGATTACCTCGCCTGGTACACAGGAGGTCGTGGGTTCGATCCCAACCCTGACGCCTGCTGCTGCTGCTGTATGTTTGGAGTTTGCGTGTCTCACTCGCCGTGGTGGCGTGGATTTATCTTCGGGTTTCTCCCCCTTCTCCACACGTTAAGATCAACATCGCGAGTGAAGAATATTTGGTGGTACTGCTGCTGCTGCTAAGAGCCGTACATTTCCACTTGATACGCTGAGCTATAATTTCTTTTTTTTTCTAGCGAGGCCTGTTTCTGAAAAAAATAACTCGGGTGGGCCTTAACCTGGTAAAACAAAACAAAATAGCAAAATCAAAAGTTTAGTTTTACAGCTTAAAACAATTGCACCGGGTTCGACATTCAGCGTCTCATCAGCAGTGTCGAGGCCGCCCAACCTCCTCCAGTCTGGCACCAACCCCGCGGCTTCCCTCCGCATCCACCGCCGCACGTCGCTCGCAGTCCGCCGCACACTTCGAGTAGCCGCCGGGATTGACGAGAGGGGGGCGGGGGGGGGGTCCCCTCGTACCACCGGGACACCTCGAAGGGCCGAGGGCGAAAGAGGCGAACCGAGGGGGGCGCACCGAGGGGACCCCGGTGGAACGGGGTCCGTGGACCCCGACTGCGATAGGCCGCATCCTCCGGTCTTCCCTGAGCCGCGTGGCCGGGCCGAGGGCGAGGCGGAGCCCGCGCGGGGAGACGCCGTGCGCGGCAGTGCCTCGGCGAGGGAGTTGTGGTCAGAGTCGATGCATTTAAGGTAACTTGCACGATTTATTTATTGTTCGTGATTATTGTCTCGCGACGTGGCGGCGAGTTTAATTGTGTATTCGTAATATTTTAATGAGGTGAAAGCCGAGGTTCGTGCTGTGAAACCCGGCCGCCCCAAGTTCGATTCCTGGTCACGGCAAACATCGGTGGCAGTTGTCCGACGGTGCAATTCTTTGTTAGCTCAACTGGCCCTGCGACTCGCTCAACAACTTCACAAACCTCCTCCCCCCACTGACCAGCGTGGTTGAGGTACGGTGGGGGAGGTCTTCATCCAGCAGTGGAAGTACTTTGAGTGAAACACTTCAAGCCGGATTTAACAAATGCCACAGGTCGGAGTTGATGAACGTTGCCTTATTCAGGAGGCTAACCACGACCCCTTAACAGAGAGGGCCATCGTGCTAACCTTTCCATTACACTGGGTTTGGGGAAACCCAGGTGGGGATTTGGAGTGTATGAATGTAGCCTTGTTTGGGATGCCAAAACGCCTAACACTGAGATCAGTTAAATTAGTATCGCTGTTTTTGGGAATTGAGCAGTCATTGTCCTATGGAGAGGTGTACTGCCCGTGCCATAGTAACGTGTAATTTGCCACTCATTTGTTCAGGATGTTCAGTGGGCACGGAGCATGAAGACATCTTCAGCGTTTGATTTGACTTGGCCTCTTCGCTCGTTCGAACCACGATCACAACCCACCTCAGCATTCTCAGGAACAATTAGACGTGCCTAAGGCTACACAGAGCCCAACAAAGGTATATATTGTACATCGTTGACTTAATCCCTGCAGCCGCTAGAGGCCGCTACTTTCACCACGGTGTAAAGGTTTGCTTAATTAAATTGAAATCTTGATTTGTGATCACTGAAATGAGAGCTGGCTTCTAAATCGCTACATGCGTAGTAGATACAGGTTTTCACGACGTGTGCATTGTTGCGTACCATGCTTGTGTTTGGCGCTTGCATTGTCGCGTACGACACTTACGTTGTGTACGATCGCGCATGACGATTGCGACGTGGCTTACGATGCACGCGCACGTGCGTTTGCGTGCATTGTTTATGCCAGCTGAAACGCAGCAAGTTAGCACAGTCGGAGGCACAGGTGGTGCATCTAACAGTCATCTCGGTCAGTCAACCCATGGCACGTTGGTCTGTCCCCTGACCCCCTGCCAGCGGGCGTTCGACAATTCTCGTGGCCTTAAAAGCGCACATGGCCTGGCACAAGCGCCGTGGTGACATCACCGCCATTTGGCGGCGAATGCCGGCTGCTGTTGTTATTGTCGTCTTCGTTTCCTCGGGCAGCGCGATGTTCGGCCTGTCGCACAAGACGGCGCTGGTGCTGGACCACGGCGTGCACATGGGCGAGTCGTGCAAGCAGAGCGTGGAGCTCGACGTGTTCACCAAGAGCCGCGCACCGGGGCTCATCCCGCTGGCGCCCGTCTCCAAGTCGCTGTGGACCTGCGCCGTCGAGTCGGCCGTCGAGTACTGCCGCATCCTCTACGACATTTTCCCCAGCAGGAAGCTGGTGAGCAGGAGGTGGTGGCCATGTGGCTCCGGTTTGGGCGGTGGGGGGGGGGGCTTCAGAACATAATGGATGTGTCGGAGACACTTTACATATATACCTGGAGAAGCTTCACTGAGTCTGAAGAACTCTTTTTTTTAGCTTAGCAGAGTCCTGCTACATTGGGGTGTTTGGCCAACACCGATGAGATTGTGTGTAGTAAGGGAGAAAGCCGCAGAACACCCATGCAGAGCAAGGGAGAACATACACATTCTACACAGAAAGGCACCCAGGTCAGGAATCGAAACCCAGGTTCCTGCTCAGAGGCACAAGTGTCAACGCTGTGCCACCCTGTTACTCAATTGGAGCTGGCACCGCTGATAATCCTTTGTTTAAATCTCGGTATCAGCTGTCCACCCGTGGTTAAATATCTATTCACGCCTGGTCGAAGGCCTCTATCATCATGACCAATGGTCTATCAACATGAGCAATGGTCTATAATCATGACCAATTGTCTATCATCATGGCCAATGGTCTTTTAACATGACCAATGGTCTATCAACATGAGCAATGGTCTATCATCATGACCAATGGTCTATCATCATGACCAATGGTCTATCATCATGACCAATGGTCTATCAACATGACCAATGGTCTATCAACATGACCAATGGTCTATCAACATGACCAATGGTCTAGCAACATGAGCAATGGTCTCTCAACATGACCAATGGTCTCTCAACATGACCAATGGTCTATCATCATGACCAATGTTCTATCATCATGACCAATGGTCTATCAACGTGAGCAATGGTCTCTCAACATGAGCAATGTTCTATCATCATGACCAATGGTCTATCAACATGGGCAATGGTCTATAATCATGACCAATGGTCTATCATCATGACCAATGGTCTTTTAACATGACCAATGGTCTATCAACATGAGCAATGGTCTATCATCATGAGCAATGGTCTATCATCATGACCAATGGTCTATCAACATGACCAATGGTCTATCAACATGAGCAATGGTCTCTCAACATGACCAATGGTCTATCATCATGACCAATGGTCTATCATCATGACCAATGGTCTATCAACATGACCAATGGTCTATCAACATGACCAATGGTCTATCAACATGACCAATGGTCTAGCAACATGAGCAATGGTCTCTCAACATGACCAATGGTCTATCATCATGACCAATGTTCTATCATCATGACCAATGGTCTATCAACGTGAGCAATGGTCTCTCAACATGAGCAATGTTCTATCATCATGACCAATGGTCTATCAACATGGGCAATGGTCTATAATCATGACCAATGGTCTATCATCATGACCAATGGTCTTTTAACATGACCAATGGTCTATCAACATGAGCAATGGTCTATCATCATGACCAATGGTCTATCATCATGACCAATGGTCTATCAACATGACCAATGGTCTATCAACATGAGCAATGGTCTCTCAACATGACCAATGGTCTATCATCATGACCAATGGTCTATCATCATGACCAATAGTCTATCAACATGACCAATGGTCTATCATCATGACCAATGGTCTATCATCATGACCAATGGTCTATCATCATGACCAATGGTCTATCATCATGACCAATGGACTATCATCATGACCAATGGTCTATCAACGTGAGTAATGGTCTCTCAACATGAGCAATGTTCTATCATCATGACCAATGGTCTATCATCATGACCAATGGTCTATCAACATGACCAATGGTCTATCATCATGACCAATGGTCTATCATCATGAGCAAGGGTCTATCAACATGACCAATGGTCTATCATCATGACCAATGGTCTATCAACATGACCAATGGTCTATCAACATGACCAATGGTCTATCATCATGACCAATGGTCTATCATCATGACCAATGGTCTATCATCATGACCAATGGTCTATCATCATGAGCAATGATCTATCATCATGACCAATGGGCTATCATCGTGAACAATGGGCTATCATCGTGACCAATGGTCTATCATCGTGAACAATGGGCTATCATCGTGACCAATGGTCTATCATCGTGAGCAATGGTCTATCAACGTGACCAATGGTCTATCAACGTGACCAATTGTCTATCATCGTGACCAATGGTCTATAATCGTGACCAATGGTCTATCATCGTGACCAATGGTCTATCATCGTGACCAATGGTCTATCATCGTGACCAATGGTCTATCATCATGACCAATGGTCTATTATCGTGAACAATGGGCTATCATCGTGACCAATGGTCTATCATCGTGAACAATGGGCTATCATCGTGACCAATGGTCTATCATCGTGAGCAATGGTCTATCATCATGACCAATGGGCTATCGACGTGACCAATGGTCTATCAACGTGACCAATGGTCTATCATCATGACCAATGGTCTATCAACATGACCAATGGTCTATCAACATGACCAATGGTCTATCATCGTGACCAATGGTCTATCAACGTGACCAATGGTCTATCATCGTGACCAATGGTCTATCATCGTGACCAATGGTCTATCTACTGCTGGGTGAGGCCCCTCATGTATTTGCCTTCCCTCAGTTTTATGATGCTGCAATGTGTCTCGTTCCTGCACACGAAATAATCTCATCCCTCCATTATCACAGTGGTCATCCTCAGCAGGCATATTGTCTCCTTTGGCTGCTATTTTTGTCAACTGAAATATGAAACTTTATGTTGTTAGGCTGTGCAAGTGCCAAAGATAGCAAGTTTAGTTTTAAACATTTGTAATATTTTCTACAGATATTGTGTAGCCATTTTCTGTTCATCTCGTTTCGCTCACCCAGGTACGCTTTATCGTCAGCGACTCGGAGGCGAGGTCACTCAACTCCTGGAACCAGGACGAGCAGAGCCTTCAGCAGGTGAGCAGGGTTTCCTGTGTTCCGAGAGGGATGTGATGCTGAGATAATTCACACGGTATTGGGAGGCTCTCGTTCAGCAGTGGATTGACAGAGGCTGAAAATTATTATTACGTGAGCAGCGAGGGAGTGAGATATCATCATTATCATCAGCCATAATCCACTGCCTGATTTAGACCTGTTTAATCTGCCATCACCTCTCACGATCATGCGACGCAATAATTCGTATGGTACCAACACACACACACTGATTTCAGTGGTAGAATAGTGATTATTTAAATTTTAGTTCATTTTATAATTTACTTTATTCAGGAAAGCCTCACTAAGTCTCAAGAGTTTTATATCTGTGTGAATGAGTACCCAGAGAACCCATGTGTAAGAGGAGATAGTACTCAAGGTTTTGCACTCTGAAAAATTTCCATGATCATGCAACGTAAATGGATTTGTAATAATAGATAATTAAATGCACAGTTCAATGCGCATATCGGTAGAATATGAATTTTTCAATGGATGAATCGTTTCGCACACAAACCCAGGGTAATTAAACCAGCTTGTGTGAACCTGCTAGGTGGATTATTACATTGCAGAACCGTAAGAGATGGTGACGACTTTGGCACACTTAAATTCAGAAGTGGATGTTGGCTTGTGGCCGATGATGATGAATCGTGACATGTAGAGCAATCGCCCATTTCCAACTGTCTCCCTCCGCCATCGTTTGTGCCACCGGCCTCCACGCTGTGCGCAGATCTCGGCATCGCTCGCGATGGTAGGGCCCCCAGACCCGCGCTCGGAGCCCGAGTACTGCAGCCTACTGCAGGGCGTCATGGAGGCAGTGGAGACTCTTTGCCAGTGCTCGGAACTGCAGCATGAGGCTCGCACCAGCCTCCTCGAGCGCGCTGAGCGGGTCTCCAACCGCGGCCGTATCCTCGCCATCACCAGCCTGCGCGGGTGCGGCACGCTATCGCACACCGACTCGCACACACCGGCTATCTTTGCACTTGTGTCACTTGACCGTCACACATACCGACTCGTATCACCGTGTTCCAACTCCCCCACTCATGTTACTGTGCCATCGCACACCGACTTGTGTCACCACACGTCTAGGCCTCGCCCCCAATCAGTCAGTGGCACAAGGGAGGACGGGATTTGAGGGATAGGTGGCCACGTGACAATTTATTTTTGTTTGCGTTTGGCAATGGTGCCACCATTACAATCGCACATCCCTCCCTTAGACCAGCAGAGACGCAGCCATCCACCAAACCAAAAATTAAACAATGCTACCAACACATCTTGTTTTTCTCTTACTGTGATGTGTCCCTGTGTTAATATTTCTATCTACGTAGGTCTTCTTGTGTTCTGTGGCTGTCTGATGTATATTTTGGGTTGTACCACGTGTTATACGATATGATGTCCGATGGCAGAATCTAAAAATACATCAAATACATTTTTGAGTAATTCGAGGGTTGGTGGTGGTTTGTCATTGTGGGATGGCGCTCGCAGTTTCGCGGATACTGCCACTGCGCTAACCTCCACGTTGTTGATGCTTCGACAGGGACAGCCATGTGCGCATGCTGGAGGAGGCGGTGCAGGAGGCAATTCAGGAGCACAACAAGCTGGCAGCTGGCTCAGACAGGTCGGTACTGCCACGTCTGTACCGCCACCTCGCATCCCAGCACAATTAGGAGTTCAGAAATCTTTATGGGATCCACTAACCCCTACCTGCAAAGCACCGGGATCACAGGTGGGTGCCATCGTGCCCGGCGTTACTTCTATTTCAAGCACCGCGCACCCCCCCGCGTACCTTAAGATTTCGCTGGATCCGATGGTATTGGCGTTGTGGCCAATCTGACATTGGCCAGTCTGGAAGAGAGTCTAGTCTGTGAGAGTCTTGAGTGTGTCGGTCCATGGTAACCTTGTCTGAGAGACCTTCACCTACACATGTCCATCTCCTGGAGTCTAATCCAATTGCAGTCCAGCCTACGTGAGTCAAATCTGTGACATAGGCTATCGCAGGGTTCTGCAACTGGTTGCTCAAGGGCCGAATATGCCCCGAGGACATCTGTACTCGTAATATATATAGCGTTGCATGGCCCATCAGCACACACTGAGTTTATTATGTGGACTGCCAGAAAATAGAGTTCAATAATGCTTACCTATGGATGGGCACCACCCCCTCCCTTTGCTTGCACAAATTTGACTTAGCAGTAATCTTCCCTGGTGGATGTCTGTGTTTTTCCGGCGGCGATGGCGGCGGTGATGGCGGTGACGGTCTGGTTTGCAGCCTCATGCCGATTCAGCAGTGTGAGCTGGTGCTGGTTCACACTCACCCAATCAGCGACGAGAGCTGCGTGTCCGAGCACCGCAAGCGAGAGGCACGTGACCCGCGCAAACGCACATACGTGCACGCATGCATGCATGCACACGAGCATCTACACACAAAAATTATAACCTTCAAAAAAATACGTTGTTCGGACAGAAGTAAATATTCCAAAATGCTTTAAACCACAAATCCTGGTGCCTGACTAAAAAGAAGCAGTCGTACCACTGTATCATATTGTCGCGGTGTGTTGTTGCATGTGCAGCTGTCTCCAATCCTGTCAAGCGAGGTATACAGCGTACGTGCCGGGCGCTACCTGCCTGCCAAACTGACAACGCTGGTGCAGCAGCATTTCAACCTGGCATCCACCACCATCACCAATATCCCCATGAAGGTGAAACAGCCACCACCCTCACCAACACCACCCTTATCAAGACCATCATCACCAACATCGTCGTGACGGTGATGCAACCATTACTACCACCACTATTAACGCCATCACAACAGTCGTAGTAAACTAACAACAACCACCGTTCCCCACTAAGTGGCAGCGATATCACCAGTGCGCTTGTACCAGGCTAAGTGCACATTGAGATTATCACATGGAGTGTGGATAGCTTACTGTTGGCAGGTCACCGGACAGACCCAGATGTTATGGGTTGACTGAGATGACTGGCAGATGCACCACCTGTGCGCCCCACTATGCCAACGTGCTGTGTTATAGCCGCCCGGTGCTCCGCTCGTTGTTGTGAGCATTGCTCCTCTGCCCTCTGCTTTTGTTGGAGGGAAACTGCCTCCAATTGCCGAGTAGCGTCCTTCACGGGCCTCCACAGAGGCTGATCTTGACACCACTGGTACCAGTTGTTGGCAAGACCACTCGGCTCCATATCCTCCTGTTCCACATCAGTCCATTTCTTCTCTAGCTTTTGCCATGCCTGTTTAGCCCATTTTATCCATCCAAAAAGTAGCTGCTTGGGCATATGCAGTGGGTGGGCATGTGCATAACCTAGCCAATGTATCCTTGCCTACTGGAGGAGCTCACTGATGGGACTGTATCCAGATCTTTCAAGGATCTGAGCTCCTCGCACAATCCTGTCTGGTTAAACCCAGGATGGATCATAGGCAGGCCAATCTGAATGTTTCAAACTGGCGCAGATGTTCCTTCAAGGTCTCCACGTTTCGTAAGGGTAGAGAAGGGGGCATACCTGTGGTCAAGAAGACCTGGAGCTTTATCGGACGATAGGCCAGGTAGCTTCCACATAGCATTACGCAGCTGATGAAAAGATAATGCCGCTCCTCTGATTTGGAGTAAGACCTGTGTTGCCAAACCAGAGCTGTTCATAAGCACCTGCCCAGATACAGAACTTGTCCACTCTCTCCACCACCCCTATCACCAACATCACCACCATCACCACCATCCATATGAATAGGACACAACCACCACCATTACCACCACCACCACAATTTTCTTCATTACCACTACCATCACCACCACCTTACACGCCACATCTCACCATAACAAGCACAACAGTCATGTCCCACCAACATCACATTCACCACCAACACCACATCGCACAATCATGCCACTGCCATCACCAAAATCACAGCCGTTATAACCACAACTCTCATAATCGGGAAGGTGAGTGGTGCAGTGATAACACTTGTGCCTCTAGCAAGAGGTTCTGGGGTTCGATTCCCAATGAGGGTGCCTTTCTGTGTGGGGTTGTATGTTCTTCCCCTGTTCTGTATGTATTTTGAACTTATTTCGCACCATATGTAGCGAAACGTGCTAATCGGAGGTGCGGGGGAAGGACAACAAACTAAACACAAAAAACATTTCTAAAGAAATTAGTTTTCAATATAGATTTAAAAATGCATAATTCCAGTGGCTTCCTAATATCGGAAGGACGAGCGTTCCAGACAGCCGCAGAAACGGATCTGAAAGTGTGTGAGGATGACCGGAGTTCGTGTGATGGTTTACATTCCTTTAAAAAAAAACACACATGTAATGTCACTGGTATTGGACAAAACATCCCAATGCTGAAATATTACCTGCAAAGAACTCAATTGGGATCACGCACAGCAGAAACATTACCCCCTACTGTGAAAAACTTTCAGGACCCTCCTGAATAAAAGGGTCTTGAGACTCTTTGAATCTTTTCTGGGCAAGCGAGCGCAATAGCAACAATGACCACCTATTCTGGGTGCTGATTGCGTGCATCTGTGCGCCCCTACCCACATCTCGCCGGTGCCACCGAGCAGGAGGAACAGCATGCCAACACTTCGGCAAACTATGACGTGGAGCTGCTGCACCACTGCGACGCGCACGCCGAGCTTTTTAAACTCGGTGAGTGGCGCCCGCACGCCTGCGCACGTACGTACGCGGTTGCACGCGCAGCTCATGGCACGCCGCACGCACCATTACACACGATGGCATGTGCATGCGAAAGCTAATATCGTGGCAGGACGTACATGCGCACAGATATACAAACACTCAGTCACTGGGACACACACATGCACATAGATACAGCCAAAAACACACGCAGGGACACATACGTGGATGCACATAGACACCTACACATACAGACAAAGATCCCCCATATAGCCTTTAGCAGACTGCTGAGCGAGCAGCTATTAAGCTCTGCACATGAGGAGGTGGGTGGCCAACATCACACTCAACCAGATGTCTCCCCAATGCCGATATTTACGCACCGCATAAAGTGCTCATTTAAGGCTGATGTTGGCCGTGAGTGGGAATTTAACTCTGGTCGCAGGGTTCACAGCACAGTGTGCTAACCACCACACTACCGCTCAAAACAAAAACATTCACACACAAAGTCAAATAAACTACTCTAAAAAGTGTCTTCACATGCAAACGCATCGGGCAGTATTCATTTCCATTGGCTATCCTCAATCGGAAGCCAGTTGATGGAAATTTCACATGACTATGGCAGAGACCATCCTTTCCATCGTATACCGTTGAATTCCCACATAGTGATGCTAATATAACTGCCCTCAGTGTTAGACAAGTGTTTAATGTTCAGCAACAAACACACACGTACACATACCCTCACGCGGACAACACACGCACCAGCACACCCACACACGCGTGCACCTTGGCTGATCGTTCTCGTACGTGCGCCCTTCCTCTCAGGTGACCTGAGCGCGCTGACTCCGGGCAGCAGCGGCAGCAGGGAGGGCGTCACCAAGGAGACTGTGACACTCAAGTGGTGCACACCGCGCACAAACAGCATCGGTACGACCACACGGTCCGCAAGGTCCCCAAGGTCCCCATGCCCTCACCCCATCGGTTTCTACCCAAGTTTCATTATGTCACAGCCAGCGCTTAATTCCCCACGGATCATCGCGCTCAGCAATGCGGACCATGCCTATCAAGGAGGCCTGGCTAGGGGCGACTATGACTGATAGACTGGGCTAAACGGCAAGTAACTTAAGTAGTCGCAGCCACAGCCAGAGTGAGAGGTACTGGATGTGGTATGCTAGCTGTGGAAATATTTTCCAGATCGGCAGTAGACTGGAGCGAGCGACACGTGACTCATAGCAGTGATGTAACTGCGGTCTACATAATTTCCACGTACCGTGACACAACGCCTAGAAGAAAGATTGGAATCAAATTTGGAAAAAATATATTTTTTAATGTGTTGCATGATGTGACCATGGTAACCCAGTATATGCCCGTTCACTTAAGATATCAGAAGCTAAGCAATATTGAGCCTGGATAGTGCTTGGATGGGCGACCCCCATGCATGTCGTATATGTGGCTGCATGGTTGTGCTCCGTAATGGTCACCAGAAGTCAGTGCAACAAAGTCTGTTGTAGTACGCTAATTAAGTGTTCACCATGTAGGAATTCCCTGCCTTCACCAACCTGCACTGACCTTCATCCAGCAGTGGATTGACAAAAGGCCTATCCACATGAATGTGTAAGCCATTCGGTATTTTAACGGTTTGCTGCTGCTACCCCCATGTGTGTGGCGTGAAGAGCTTCACTACTGCACCGGGGCATTCCGCATTTCGCCTGTGGATGTCAACAGCCGGCCTTCCTCCTGCCTCACAAACTTCCTCCTCAATGGTGTGTCGCTGGCCCTCTCTGAACCTTCTCAACCATCTACAGCCTTCCCTGGCTACCCCTGGCCACCCATGGCTTTCCCCAGCCATTCCTCACCCTCTGAGGTTTTCCAGGCCTCATTGAATTTGGACGAGCAATTGCGAGTTGCATTCAACATCCTAAATTGTCTGAAGTGGACGTTTTCAATCATAGAACTGCACCTGGCTGCGGTGAAATTTCACCCGTGCCAATATCTCATAGTTATCAAGTTAAATAATAAATTAAATTGGTAGTCGTGCCATTCTTATGGAGCAAAGCTGGTGATGAAGGTGCTGTCTCACAGACAAGTATATTCTGGTTCTTAATAAAAATACTTTTATTGTCTCACAGACAAGTATATGCTGGTTCTTTCGGTAAAGTCATGTAGAAGGGAAACAATAAAAGAATAAAAATATTTTATTATTTTATTGAATATGAATCCCTGCAGTCACGAAAGCTTTAAATCAAAAAGTATATTCTGCACCAGTTTCTCAGTAGGGGTGATATTCCTTTGCGATTTTTATCAAATGAGGGAACTTGAGTATTTTTTCCATTTTGAAAAATTGGAGCAGGACACCAGTACACATGGCCTGGTCTTTTTGAAATGACACAGGATCTTTGAGTTCCACTGTGAAGCAGGCGGCGAGTAGTATTCATAGTTTATCTCACCACAGTATTAATCCATCCGGTAGAGCGAGTGGCTCACAATCGGAAGGTTGTGAATTCAAAACCTGGTTGGACTTTTGACTCTCCTGCTATATTAATGTCAGAATCTTTATCAGATTCAGAATATTTACCCTGAACAAATGCAATAAACCGTGAAGCTGTTTCCCACGTGCAATAAAAATGGGGATTTTCCACCACTGGCTCAGGGTTGTTAAGAGTAGAACCTCGCATCTGCTCATTTGAGCCAGAGCCAGGAAATCGCTTTGACTCGAGTATTAACCAGGGCGGCTTGCCATTTCTGAACCACGAACCTCCATCACTAGCGGCTAACGCGCTGCCGTCTCCTCGATGCACTAGGCCGCTCCGTGATGCTGGAGCAGCCACGCAAGTCCGGCACGAAAGTGATTGGGCACATGCTGTGCAGCCACGGCGGGGAGATCTTCCTGCACGTGCTCAGTAGCTCACGCTCCACCCTGGAGGACCCCCCCTCCATCAGCGAGGGCTGCGGTGGACGCGTCACCGACTACCGCATCACGGTGTGTGTGTGTGTGTGGTCCTGATCCTCCCCTAGGTCGACTCGGCCTCAAATGAGTACCTGGTGCTGTGTGTAAACATCAGCACTAGGGAGACAAATGTGGCTGGGCGTGGTGGTGGCCACTCACCCCCACGTGTGCCGTGCCGGCCTTCGTAGGTACTAATAGCACTTGCCCCAACAGTCTTGTTAAGGCTATACAGGGGACCTTTGTCTTTGGTGGCATAGTGGCCTCAAGGTGCCTTTAGCCTGGCACAATTGATGTGGTGATGAATGGCGGTTATGGTTATATCGTGGTTTGGGCACTGCACTCCGAACCCGCTGACCCAAGTTCAATTCCCGCTCACGACCAAAAACAGTGCCGAATATTTTAACCAATCCTGGACCTCCTGGAGGTCGATTCAGCATAAAAATTGAGTATCTGCTGCGGTGTGTAAAAACATCAACACTGGGGAGACAAAGGTGGCCGGGAGTGGTACTGGCCACCCACCCTCTCGTGCCATGGTATTCATAGGTGCTCGTTAACACACTTGTCCCATCAGTCTGTAAAGGCTATACAGGGGATCTTTGTGTTTTGTGTCCCGGGAGAGAAAGTTGAAAAGAACTTTGACGAGAAAGTTTTCAAGCCTCCTGATCGAGGCCTCCTTGCAGGGTTGATGTTCGGCTGGTGGCAGCCTCCGGCATGCTGGGCCGAGACTCTCTTTGGAGTCAGGTTGTTTGCGAGTGCATTTGTGTCGGTACCAATACGTGTATTTGTGTGAACGTGTGAGTGTGTTTGTCCTTGTGTCCCACACACACAGGATTTTGGAGAGTTCATGAAGGAAAACCGCCTGGCGCCGGTGCCGGGGCCATTGCCTCGCGCGGGGGAGACCCCTCTGGACCGAGCTAGAGCGCAGCTGGAGCGACACACGCGATACTGGCCCATGATCATCTCCCAGACCACAATCTTCAACATGCAGGCTGTACGCACTCGCGCACACACACACGGACAAACACAACAGCAGGTACTGTTGTAATAGAGCAACGATGAAGCCCAGCACAACAAACACACACGGGTCAATTGACCATGCCCAGCCGCCTTCGTCTCCCCAGTGCTGATATTTACACAGCACACCAGGTACTTATTTTAGGCCGAGTTGATCTATGGGAGGACGAGGACCAGTTCAGATATTCATAACCGACATTGGCTGTTAGTGGAAATCGAATTCAGGTCACCAGTTTCTAAGCGCAGTGCGCTTCAAACTACATTGTGTAAACACGTGCACACATACACAGTTACATGGCTCCTTCTGGTACCAGTGGCACCACAACTCCTGACGTCCGTGTGTTCGTAAATGAGTTGGGTGCACTTAGCCTGGCACAAGTGCTGTGATGACTTCAACGCCACTTCGTGGTCGTCGTGGTGAATGAGCAGGTGGTGCCGCTGGCGAACCTGGTGGTACGGGCGTCGCTGATGGATGACGACGTGCTGGAGTGCCAGAAAGTTGTTTACCACCTTGTGGAAATGGAGCGCAAGAGCGACCCCCTACCCATCTCCACGGCCGGGACCCGCGGAAAGGGGCCCAAGCGGTAATGGCAGCACACCCGTTGTTCGTGCGCAATCGCTTTCGAGATTTAGCCGGTTTTAGTCGCAGCGTGTGGTGGTTCTTATTTTGAACCTGCAAGTAACCTGCAGTGTTATGGTCATAGTCGGCTTGAGTGTAAAACAAAATATTTTAGGATTAAATGACAAAGGAGTGAACACGCATGAGGGGTACGTTCACCGCGGAGATAGAGCGATTAAATGAGCTCGTGTTCTGGATGGATTGTTGTATCGCAAGAGATGGTGTTGGCCTTATGGAGGCTTCATGCAGCATTGGATAGATCATGGCTGATGATGAAATGCTCATCTAATTCAATACAAATAATGGCATGTATAGACGAATCCTACCCCTTTATGGAGTCTCAAAACACTTCTTCAGGAGGGTCCTGCTGGGGATGTTTGGCCAGTTTCATTTTTAAATGTATTTTTCTTGTGGGAGGGAACCAGGGATGCCCTCCAATGCATAGATTACCATAGAAGGAGAAAACACTCTTCACAGATGGGTTTGCGAACCCCACCTCTCAGCCCATTGCGTTTGCTATCTCTATATGATCCACCAACTCGACCTCACAAAGCAGCGGTTTGCATGCAGGGCTTCTACCACCGTCGCTACGGCCCAGCGTCCGTAACGTTCGACGTCCGTGCAATCGCGGTTGTGCCCGTCGCCGGCGCAGGGACGAGCAGTACCGGCTGATGTGGAACGAGTTGGAGACGCTGGTGCGGGCGCACGCGGGGGACTCGCCAGGGCACCAGCGCGTACTCGACTGCCTGCTGGCATGCCGCAGCAAGCCCGCGGACGAGGACGAACGCAAAAAGGGCAAGCGCAAGAAGGAGGAGCGCGAGGAGCGCGCCGAGCGGAGTGGCCTGCGCGACCCGGATGCCGAGACCGACAGGTGCACTACCGCTGCACTCTTGCCCGCGTGCTGGCCCTTCAGGCCCATGTGCCAGTTTGATGATATTTTAACTCCTGTACAATACTAATCCGATCCTGTGGAATCACAGTGCGGCAAAACATTTAAACTTCCGTGTAGTAGTTTTAACTGTCCCCCCCCCCCCTAATTTTCACCCAAAGGAGTCAGAACCATAACCCTATAAATATTCTGACCCGGGGGTCTCAATTCACAACCCAGCGCTTGGACTCCTAATCCACCAGCGGCACTCTTGGTTGTGCCAGTGACATGCTGGTACTGGTGGAAAATTGTAGTAACAGAGAATGCGTGATCGCCAGAGCTTGATATCTTTTCACGCCACAGGTTTCGTGAGCGGAGCGGAGACAAGGAGGAAGCGGCGGAACCGGAACTCATCAAGGACTCGCCGGACTCTCCTGAGCCGGTCCCCTCCAAGCGACCGCGCTTGTCCTCCGACGACGCAAAGCCTCTTGACAAGGCCCGGGGTAAATACTCGCTGGGGCCATCGTTCCTAAGCCAGTGTCGCCCTGCCCATCCGTACCACCATACGCATGCTACCCTACTCGCTTCCATTTCTCCTTCTCAAACCTGTTCGCCCTACCCGCACCCATACTGCCCTTACACCCTTACTGCCCTACCTGCACCCATGTCACTGCACTTATGGTTTTTTTTGCGGCTCTGCTTGTCCCTGCCCCCACCCCCTTTCATGCTGTTGCGGCATGGTTGCTGTGTTGGGCATTGCCAGGTCCCGTGTCGCTGCTGAGCATGTGGACAAGCAGAATGGACGCGCTGCACGCGAGAAAGCACCAGGAGTTCGCGGGGCGGCTGGTCACTGGTGCTGGTGGACGGGCCGAGCTCTACTGCCACCTCAAGGAGGAGAATGGGTGAGGCGCCCGACTGCACATGGATGCACCCTTACCCCCGTCGTGATTGACTGGTCGAGGGGTCGGTAGCGCACTACCGCCACATGTCGAGCTGGAAGTTTATAATGCCCACCTGTGTAAAAGTGATAACCTCTGACATGCTTCCCTGCCACTCCCACTGCCTAGGCAGTGGGTGGTTAGTGCTGGCAAGCTCAGCCCCCCTCAAACTTTATCACCAGCTCTACCATGCAAGCAGCTCATACAAGTAAACCCACTTGTAGTTGGGCTTTGCAAGTTATAGCAAGGTCTCCACGAGCAGAGCATGTGGCGGACCAACGTAATTAGATCGGCGCTTGTGCGGGAGTTCGATGGATTGTGGCTGTGTGGGGTGGCCTTCGTCCAGCAGTGGATCGATAATGCCTGCTAATGATGATGTTGAACAGTGTTGGTTAGGAGTTTGTCAAGTGTGCTGTGTGGTTTTGCTTGCTTTGCCATCGGTGCCGGCTCCTCATCTAAGCGGCTGTCGTCTGCGTTGTCAGCGTGTTTCCCAGCGCCAGCGCGGACGGGAGGGAGACGCCCAAAACGAGCCGACAGTGACGCAGGGACAAGCCGGGTGAGCGAGGCCATTGTGGAGCGGAAACTGCGTGCGATCAAAACCACTGTGGCACTAGCCTGTCTCTTGGCTGCCCTACCACGTGAGATGATCCTCAAGTGTGTTCTGAGGGGTGTGTGGCTAGTGGTTGAGTCTCAACACTGATTCGTGATGTTTGTAGTGCCGATGGTTGATGTTTCACCCCCCCATCGCCGAGTGAAGGAACAGAGCAAGTGACGCGCGTTTCTACAAATTCGTTACCCGGTGAAGAAAACGTTGTTTTTTTAAATGTGCTTTCCATATATATGCTGTAAAAAATACAATAAAACGGATCGTCTTTACAACTCATTTTTCTGTGCATCTTTCCGTGACTACCATCCTGTGCCACGATGAATGAACAAAGCCTCCTTATAACTTGTGTAATATTCCTATTCCTGTTTCATAATTTACACACCAAGAGCAAAGCTGGGACTATTAGTCCATTAATCCACCATTTAAAAATGGTGGCCGCTTCTGCATGCACCTCCCAGATATGGTGACATGACTGGTAATGGGCTAGTGACCCCCTGCACCTGGACAATATTCCATGTTCTCGCAGGCCCTACGCAAAGGGGTTTACCCTATCCTGCACCAAGACACAGCAATGCGCTTAGCTTGTCACTATACCAGCAAACGGCACACACCAACATGTATTACACCACACCATTCGAGCAAGGGTCTCAGATGCACGACAGTACGAAAAGACGCTTCATACGCACATTGACAACACTCGCACGTCAAAACACTTGCACACGTCTTAATATTCTAGACGCACGTAACGTGAACCCACCCAATAACACAATTTGGTGATGCTACTGCTACTGCTGCAGTAATGCATACGCACAATTAAGAAAAATAACGCATCAATAACACTGGCCTCAAAATAAACTATATAACTGCTGAAGTTTTGGGAAATTACACTTCTTCATAGCAAAAATAGGCCAGGGATAGTGTTAAGGCTTGGAGACTTTACACCATGGGGCCTAATGAGAATTCAATATTTAGAAATGTTTTCTGAGGACCAGTTTTTAAATAGGTGTATGAATAATTACTGAATAGTAGCTGTTGAGTAACAGACAAACCCTGCAAACAAATAATTATTACCACTACATTTATATTAAACGTAGAATTATAACATGTTCCTGGCGCAGTGCATTGTGGGAAGATTTGCTCTTGCGAACAAAAGCTAACAATGCATTTCTGGGCCCAAACATTTCAACAGAAGAAAATTACCTGCCCTAAGATTTAATGAAATAGCCAATCTGTGTCGAGCACTCCATAATAAAAGTTTTGTTTTAAGTGATTAGCATGGTTGGCTACGTATGGTGCAAAAGAAGTTCAACATACATACATACGAAGGTAAGACGTTCATTCAGTCCTGCCAGCTCAACGGAATTCGGTTTGAATGAGGCAGGTGTACGAGGTGACTCACAATGGCATATGTATGCATATACAATCCACATTTGTAGCAGATATTCCAAAGCTCTTTACTGGTCATCTCCCAACATTTAAAAACAATCACCTAAGAATAACAGCTGCCAAAAATGAATGTTTTTTTTTTACAGTGGTGAATCACACAGGCCAATGTCCCTGAGCAAACAACACTCCGTACTTCCACATATACACACGAGTGGCGAGCAGCTCAAACAACAGGTGTGTACATCTCACCCTGGAATCCTGTCGAGGTGATGATTAGACCCGGCATCATACTTGCAAATTCACAGTAAATCTGAGGCCCGTGGGCGATAACACTGTGCTCGCCACCTGTATTGCTCATCATCATGAAAGCTGTCGTCAAAAATACCGCTGGCATCGATCACAATTGGCAGTGGGGCTCATGAGCATTTGTTGTGGCGATGGGTTTAACGTAACCGAGCATCCAAGGCCGATTTTAACGCCAAGTGATGACAAAAACTATTTCTCCATTTCAAACTGTAAATGTTGCCCTGTACACTGTAAATGCTATGTTGCCAAATACTAAACGCATTTAATACATGACAGAGCCCCATTGCCAATGTTAACATTTCCTTATAATAGCCCCTGCGAGTTATGTGTATAGGGTTTGGGGTTAGGGCTACCGATTGGCTGCAACACATTGTCAGAACAGCAGCATTTCTCAGCTCATACATGCACGGGGGCTGCTGTCTCAACTAACAGTCCAACCAAGGCTCAGTGTGGACAGCTGGAAGTGGGGATGCCTGGTGTATTGTTAGCCATGCTAGGTCCACATCATTGGACCTGGCATGACTCACGGGGAGTTGGCATCTTTGGCTGCCCCATTTATCCAAGGGCTGTCATCAGTTTTGCCTAAAGCACAGTGCACACACACAATGTCACCTCTACAATCGCTCTGAATCCTCAACATGGGGCAGGTATCCTTCGATCTACAGACGCTCGGTTTACAAAATTTCGCGTTCACACAATGGACAAATTATGGACACTTTTCTATTAACGAAATAGAATTTCCGCATAAACGAAATTTCACATGGCACGCGCCATGACACCAAACAAGAAGAACCTGGGAGAATGCGTCATTCATCCGCGACGTCACGGTATATCCACAGTGCAACAGTAACGCCTCAACGTCACCTTTTCAGTCTTTTCAACATGCAGATGTTTTGGAGAGTTCCCCGAAAAGGTTATTTTTGTTTTAAATTATTCAATCGTTTTAAAATGCATGTTCTTTATTTTTTTTGTATTGTGAAAAGTGTTTGGAATGACTGTCCGAAACACACCCCTAATTGTTTTTATCTAATAGAAAAAGCCATTACGATTCACGAAATTTCAGTTTTTGCGTGTTTTCTGAAGAACGCATCCCTTTCGTAAATCGAGGGATACCTGGATTGGTTTATGCAAAACTTTGGTACCCACTGAATATTTTCCGAGTCACCGATAGACTGACGTGTGACAAAAGCAGCCACACAGCCGTAGCAAGAAGTCTATATACCGCATGTGGCCACACATACCGGATGTGGCATTCCAGACAGCAGACTAGGCTGACGTTAAGCCCTGGGTGTTTTATGGTAGAGCTGGTCCCTGGCGTGCAAATGGCTCTTTGCGAGGGAGCCAGCGTTCCACCAGTTACCACTCAGAATCCTTCACATTCGCTGCTTACGTAGCGTGCAGCTTTAGGAGTGGTCCAGTGCCCATCGCAATCCCTGCAGAGTCACACACCGGGGCTATGTCTCGGCTCCAGCGGGAGAGAAGCAGTGGGGGGGGGGGGTCCAAGGTTTCTATACCATGTGGTCAACAGGCGTTTAGTGATGTACCGCCCAGCTATTCCTTGAAATGAAACGAGTAACGGGAGGCCGCCATTTGATTTTGGCATTGATTATTTCGTAAGGTTCTTACATTCACGTGTATTATTTCACAATATAAGCGTTTTTTGCTCTAAATCCGTAAGTCAAAATGTAACAGCAAATCATCTGCATATAACTTAAAAGAAGAAACAATCTATTTTTATCATTGTATAGAATTTTCAGTGTTTATGTTGAGTATTAATGTGATGGTGCTTTCAGTGCCAAATAAATGCAATTAGTACATTTGGTATTTGCAACATTCTTATAGCGCAAGGCTATAATGATGGCATGTTTAACAGACAAGGTCTCCAGTAATTTCATAGTGGGGGCAATGATTGCCTGTTTCCCAATTGAACAATTTGCAGGTAATTTTTCAAATTTGGCAAATTTGGAATGGTGCTGTTGGCACACATGGCCTACTCTCAAATAACGGGATCGATTAACATCCGCTGTGAAGCAGACGGTGCTTATTTATAATACACCCGATTATCAACCAGGGCTTGAACTGGGAACCTCGTCAAAAAGTGGCAAGTGCGCTACCGCTGGATCATTTAATCATCCCAAAAAGTAATCGATTCAATGCTTGATTAATTAACATAATTTGTATTAATTTATGACTCGATGCATCGTAACATGCCTGGTGGCTATAAAATGTGGTACTAGGCGGGAGTACAACGCTTATTCTAGAGCCGATTTATGTTTAGATTTCTGATACACAAGGAGAAAAGCCTAAATGCCCGACTATTCCAATAACAGCTGCCGGCCACCTGTGGCACACAAATTCTGTAGAACCACATGGTATTATTTCGCAATTGTATTAATGGAACCCTGCGCTTCATAGCTTTTACTGTTATTATACATGTTTACCCAGGAAAGCCTCACTGTGGAACGCAATTAAGATATTTTTAAAACACAATTTGTGCTAAACAATAGCATTGAGGCACCAGCGGTTCGCTAGGTAAGGCTCTTTTTGCAATACATGTCACAGTTCCAAATCCTACAACCTGAATGGTACTGTGAAGCCGAATTCACAGGTTTGATTAAATACACTTCAAAAGAAAGATAAATCTTGAAACAATATTAAGAGAGCATGCATAAGAAAACCAAAGCACACTTATGTGGCAGCATTATCGTTGGAAGCCAATTTTGATAAGCATTTAACGTTGCTTAAACAAAACAAAGCATTCGCAAAGCAACAGTTGCATGGCTCGAAGAAGTGATATACGCAACATTATTCATGTAATTCTATTTTTCAGTAAAAAAAATATATACACATCAGTAATTTTCCGTATAAGAGGGGAAAATACTGACCTTCGGTAGAACGTTGGTACTCGGTGGAACAATGTGGGAATAACCTGGATCGGTCGTTCCGCGTTATCACATTTTCTCCGGTCCACCATGTGACCAGCCTTCTGGCCATGTGACCAACTCCCATGTAACCTGAGAGTAGCAGTTAAGAGTCCAGGTGCTTTTGGAAGTGCAGCCCTCAGCTGCAAATATATGACCGCCCGGCCAGCACAGTCTGCGATGTTCGCATTGCCTTAATCGCGACTCGCATAAAGAAACACAATACTATTCAATTACCATTAAGTGAGGAAAGCTCACGAAGTGCCTGTGTGTGAGTGCCGTGGATGAGTGCTGGCTCTGCCATTGGGTGTCGGGTGGGTCGAGGAGGCTGGTGCTGTGGTGGTGGTGGTAGGGACTGCAGTTGTGCCTGATCGTGCAGGAGTCATCCCGGTGGTGCAGTGCGTTGTTGGCGGCTGGCGGCCCCGTGGCCAGCGCCTGGTTAACTACGCCGGTGCAGGTAGTCCGCGGTCTCCGTGCTCCACAGTCGCTTGTTGGGGCTGGATCGAAGCGAGGCGGGGCTCTCGGGAGAATCGGAGCGCCATGGCGACAGAGGGGTGGCTGCGTGGACAGATACAATCAGTCAACGCCGTCCAAGTCCCACGCGCTCACAAAGCTCTCGCACATGCGCCCATTGTTAATGTGAACGGAATTGCTCGCGGTTCGCACAACCGCTCGTGCCGGTACTCACCGGGGGAGTTGTTGTGGAGGGGAGACGCTCCACGTGGCAGGAAGGCCGGGTGCTGCACAGACTGCCCCGGTGCCACCATTGAGTAGTACACTAACACACACACAAAAAAGATGAACATCACCTTTGCGGCCTTAAAAGACTTCAATAAATGGTGTTAATGAGCATCTATTAAGGTTCGCACGGTGCACGAGGGGGTGGTGTTGCTGTTGTTACCGCACAGCACCAGGTACTCATTTAAGGTCGAGTCGAATTAGAGGATGGGGAGAGAGTATCACTTCTCACCAATGTTGCCCATAGCAGGAAATGGAACCCACATTCATGGAATTGTGGAGCTGTCGCAAACACTTTGCCACACTCATTCATCCATGAATACAATGTGTAACGTACACAAGTTGAACTTTTAAACGACATTCAGGTGGCACAAAGTGTTACTCCCAGCTTTACTCATGCACACACTAGCTTCGCAAAACAGAACGCAACACCAGAAACAAACGAGACGAACACACAGAGCAGCTCCATTGTCCGCACGTTGCGATCTCACCGATGATGGCGAGGGCAACACTCAAGAGGATGAGGAAGAGGATGAGCAGGAAGTTCTGGTGGCCCTTCATCAGGTGCTGAAATGAGCCCTCATGAGCAGGCTCACTGGACACTGATGGAAACACAAAGACAAAGACCTCCCGTATAGCCTCAACAGTCTTGTTCGGAAGAATGTCATTAGCGAGCACCTATTAACGGTGGCATGGCACATGAGGTGGTGGAGCTGCAAGGACTAGAGTTTGATAAATGCTGCACGTGGGATGAGCACTTGCCAAAGCTCATGTGAGCATGGAGGTTTACATTATTTGTCATTGTTTTTGACAGCGGTATGTTGAACCTCATTTGCACCGTACATAGCCAACTGTGCTAATCGGAGGTGCAAAGCGGTCTTCAAATCTACTCGGAGAAAATGTGTAAAGTGACAGAATTAATATTTTAATAGATTTTGACAGCAGTTTTCCACGTCTGCTCATCAACCTCAACATCAGCAACCTCAACATTTTGCCAAGGTCTTAAAACGGTAGTAATCTAAACAGCTTATTACGTGTGATCAGTGCACATTCGCGATGGATCAGACACACAAGATTTCGTGATAACGAATGCTCAAGACTTAGACGCCAGTTACCAATAGCTTCAACACAAACCTGCCATCTCAGCTCTTTCAAATTGTCAGAGGACCAATCGTAAAACTCACATTCCGGTTAAACTATGTGTGGTGCTGCGGTGGAGGGCTCACGCGATGCCGCGGCGGTGGCGTCACCGGCGACCGCAAGGTGAACATGCAGCTCCTGCCGCTGCCCCGTGGCAGAGCAGCTCACGGAGACCACGGGGACAGCCTCGGACATCGGCCCTGCCACCTCCTCCCCGTTGACGTGGCGCAGGGCGGTGTTGTCGTCCGTCAGCTGCACTGAGAATTGCACCCAGTTGCTACCCAAGCTGCTGCGCTGCACCAGCACGAACGGCTTGTTGCTGCTCACCTAGGGCACGGTACCAACACAAAGAAGTAGTTAAGCCAAGCACCGCTGACTAAAATGTCTTTGCACCTGTCAGCTTTGTTTACAATCGTCATCATCAGCTTCACATGTCACTTTTCTGACTGGGAAATTGATGATCGATGTTCAGTCACCATTTGTGTGCAACTGAGACTACAAACTCCAAACTAGGGACTATATAACTTTGCATTGCTCCAAATATAAACATGGGTGAGTGGGTAAGTGGGTGAGTGTAGCTGAAATTACCAATCCTCAGAGAAAGCAATCGAATGATGACACACTTCCCACTGAATCTCTTATGGTTGCTCTACATAAGCCATAAGAAAGAGATCATCAGTCAGCATCAATCCACTGTTGGATGAAGGCTTTCTCAAGCTATCGGCATCTCTCACAATCCTGCGACGTGATAATCGACCGAGCACAGCACACGATGAGCCTATTTTCCAGGAAAGCCTCGAGACTCTTTTTATGCAACACTGCTGTTTTATGCTGATAGTTCGTGCACTATACCGTAAGAATACACATCAGCATTTGTCTAACAGCCCTTACTCTCCCAATGAGACTGTTGAAGTTGAAACTGGTCCAGGGTTTTCCAGCCTAACAACACAAACCACACGCACACACAGGCGTGTCGAGCACGCGTTTTGTCGCGACGCTCCGGCGTCACCTCCAGGTAGCGCAGCGCCTCCTCGGTGGCGTGCACGGTGAACAACGCTGCAGCATGTCGCCCGGAGAGTACCACCTCCCGCGGCTCCACGTAGAACGCCGGCAAGAACGGCACCACGGCCACGGCGGTGCCGTGGGCAGTCGCGCCGCCCCCGCCGTCGTTGCCACCGCCGCAGCCCACGCCGTCGCCGCCGCAGGAAGCTTCGCGCACGGTCGCCCAGACGTGCACGCTTGTGGCGGCGACGCTCAGAGACTTCTGCCGCCCGGCGTCGGCGAGCGGCAACGGCGAGACGTCGCACGTGTAGTGCCCTGCGATGCGCGGTGCGGTCGTTTAACCCCACGAGCTTCCCGTCATTGCATGCTCGTCTTTGCATAGCAATGTGACGTACGATATGGATATCCATATACATTATCCTCATCATCAGCCACAATTAATTCGCTGCTGGATGAAGGCCCTGTTAAGGTGCCACTATCTCTCACGGTCCAATCATGGTCGTGCTTTCGAGCATCTTCCCTCCATTGGTTGCCACTTGGTGGGTATACTCGACCACTGGCATTCATTCCTCCGAGCATTGTTCACTGCCCAAGTCCACGTGTCAGATTACAGGAGTGCAGCCTCTAGCTTTTAACAAGCATTTAGAATCTAATGCACAAGTTGACGGGACGACAATTTCCATTGGCATTTGCCAGTACAATCTCCCGTGTTTTCCCGCGGACATGTGTGTGCCACATCCATTCATGTGATAAACACGTGTGTGTGTGTGTGCGTCACATTTATGTGGTGTCCATGTTTCTGTCACGCACGTGTCTCGTCATACGTGTGCTACAGGTGCATACCGACGCCCCGGGGCCTCACCGTTGGCGACGTCGAACGCGGGCGAGACGCTGAACGCCGCATGCGTTGTGACGTGCGTCACCTCGGGGTTGCTGAACTGCGTGTGACACTGGAGGTTGCTGGCCAAGGGCAGGACGTGCATGGCCTGTAGCTGGCTGGCACTGCACTGGCCTGCGGGTGAAAAAACAAACACTCTGCGTTCAGCACTCAAGAGGTAGCCAGCCGCAGGGCCATAGAGAGGTGGGGGTAGGTGGGGGGAGTGTTCCCAGGGCACTCAGATTCTTAGAAAGGTAGACTTAGAAAGAGTCGCGTGGGCCTCAGATGAGGGCCTGGGTGGGCCAGGTGGCTCAGGGAGTTCATAAGGGCTGCATCAGAGATGCTTGAGCCAGCACTGCCTAGATCCTGGGTTAGGATCCGAGTTTCAGCTATCCACTATTAAAGTCGGCTATGTAGAGCAGCTGACTCATGGTCTTAGTCACCGATCAGCATCATAAAATAATTAGATTTGTACTTTTTTTTGGGCAAAATTTAGCTGTGGGGACTAAAACTAAAAAGTTTGGTTTGACTGCTTTGTCATGCAGGACACGTGAGTAGGTGCATCATCGGATGTAGAAAACAAGTAATTTACGAGCCTTGGAAGTAGTTCCAGAGACCGGCCTTTGACATGGGGTGGTATTAGTGCATACAAATGTCTTTGTATCGTGATGACACAACGCTGATAAGTGGGAGAAAAATAGCAATAACCAATATTTCATGACAGAATTTTGCAGTTATATATTTCTCCTTATACGTATTTTTCCAAACATTGAATGAATTTTGTTACCTTTCATGTTGCTTTCTCCTGACCCCAGCGTGACAGTCACCCTGACCCCCTCCGTCTTGGGCCAGTTGGTTAGAGCCATGGCACCCAGGTACGTAGCCCTGATTTTTTTCAAGGGCTGTATCACAACCTGGAGTGGTGGTGGGGGGGGGGCAGTGAGGCATTTATTGATTTATTGGGTGTGTATACAATACAGTTGAGATGTATAATGCATCTGAAAGTGACCGCATCTCGAAATGCTGTACACCAAGGAGAGACGTGCATTGTGAATTCATGAGACAGGGGCATACTAATGGAAGCAGGTGTCTGTACTGTGAGGGTAGGACTGGAGACAATAATTGATGGAAACGATCAGGCATAGGTAGAGGAGAAGAGGAAAGTCATCTATTTAGAGTCCGCAGTGTAGATATGCAATGGAAGAGATTTCCAGACAACTGACACAGCACAGTAGGAGCACCCTCCCTTGGTTGGACAATGAGGGCAGTATTTCCAATTTCTTCAAACAGAGTCGCCAAATGAACCTCAAAGTTGCTCTACATATATTCTGAAGTTGTCAAATTTCACTTGACAATTTACCAGGTAGTAAAAACAGTTAACGGTCACATAATCTTCATACATAATTGTAATTTCTAATAAATCTGCATCGTGTCCTCATTCCAGACACTCGCTAGATGTGACCAACATTCATTGCTATGACAATGTTGCTGCAAGGAAAACCCAAAAGTGTCACCGGCTCGAGTGACAAATCGCAACACACTGAGGGTTTTACGACTGTGCATATTTGTTGGCATGAGAATGTTTCTCCGAACACTAAAATAACGAAAAATGTGTGTACATGTCCAAGGTGGTGCTTGCCTCGATGTAGGTCTTTATGAGGCCTGTGATCTCGTAGTAAATGTGGACCGTCCCAACGTCCTTAGCGACTGCAACTCCGGTGTGCGCGTCCACGAAGAGAAGCAACTCATCCGAAGAACTCCACACACCAGAGGAGCCTGCGCAAGGTACAAAACTCGCACATCTTTAATCATCATCATCATCATCCATTGTACATAGAATGCGGAGTGAAGGATTACACTCCATGCCGTAGCCATCCCTCAGGGTTCTGTCATACTACAAATCATCTCTCTTCTGCACGTAAATTGATCTCATCGCTCCGGTTCACACTTATTTTCATTGACCTATTTCTTAAGTCCACTGGCTTTGACGCAGCAAGCCGAGGTGCATTCAAGAACACCAAAACAGGCCACTCTGTCCTGCCACACTCCACTCTCCTCACAAGTCGAGCTAAGAAATCAGCTCCAGGTGGCTCCGAGAGCTAAATCCATGTCAGAGATACTGAGCCGTCTCAGCTGAGATCTTGGGTTCGGATCCAGATTTCAGCCGCTCGTGATTAAAAACCAGGGTGTAGCAAGCTGTTAGTCGAAGTTAATGTGTGATTTAGGCCATTATAGTTCAATTGTGTGATCAGCATCGTGATATGAGGCATTGTATATTTGACACTCTTGCAGCCAGCAGCGCACCTCACCCATTGTCAGAACATCCCCAGATATATGGAGTCAGGGCTCCTTCTTAAGTTACTTAAAAAATGGGAATTTTAATACTTACCCACCCTCACCGGCAGAACACACATTCGGCTCTGCGGTGTGTGGGAAGCGCTGCATGTCCCGGATCGGCCTATATGGACATCTGAGCATCCACTGGGGAAAGGCAGTAACCACCGTGGCGATGGGAGGGGTCGTTGATGCCGAAAGACGGAAGCAACTCACCGTCCTGGGCCGTGAGAGCCGTCGACAAGCAAATGACGTCACCAAGCGAGACGTCCGCCAGGCCATCGGCAGGCCCGATAGCGTGACCCACGGGCAGGGGCAGGAAGTCGGCCAGGCCGGGGAGGTCAGGGTCCCACACCGAGAGAACGGTGGAGCCCAAGCCGCCCACCGCCGCCACGAACGTGTTGTTAACCGAGCCGGGCCGCACCTGCGCCAGGTCGTCTCTGAGCACACGCGCAAGCACGAGAGCATGCACACACGCGTGTACGCGAGGCGCGTGTGCGGAGAGCATCACACTCGAAAGTGGCCACGTGATCCATTTACAGACACCCCACTAAAATAAAAGGCAGAAACCATACAGACAACATTTAAATTCAAAGCCTCCACACGTCTCCCACCGATTTATATCGTTTAACACTCTCCTCTTCTGTAAGACACGGAGCCATCCCTTTCAAAATGCTCTATTCAATCACCTCTTGAGAAGAAAGCAAGGGGATCATGAAAAATCAGTGAGATATTGGAGCATCAAGTTATACACACTATGAATCTATTATTACCAAATTTTTAAATGAAGAGAAAAGCTAAACATTTAAGAATAGAAGTTAAAAAAAACACAACCATTTGTGCAAAAGCAAAAAACCCATCAGCAGTTCCTGCAGAAGTGCATTATGGTTATCTTGTATTAGATTGTCAAAAGAATTTGAGCAAATGTGACCAATTGACAGCAGCAGTGATATATTGTTGTGGACTGGTTTTGTCGTAATTCGGACTCATCAGTAGAGTAGTCACCAATGCTCACCAATGCAATGTCTGCCTCTAGGAACCATACATGTGGAGTCCTCACATCCCAGGAGCCCATTATAGCTTGGCTAATGTCAACTAAAATTTCGTTTGAATCAATAATTTCAGATTTTATCAATTTAGAGCAGGGGTCCCAAACCCTCGGGCCGCGGACCGGTACCGGGTCCGTGGCCTGTTAGGAACCGGGCCGCACAGCAGGAGGTGAGAGGCGGGTCCGCACGTGGCCCGCCCATTATTTTATTTACCACTTCCGCCCGCGCCTCTTTCCCGCACTGCGCACTTGTCTCAGTCACAGTTTTGGTAAGCCCACAAGCTAACCCCTAGCCAAAATGAGTAAAAAAAGGAGGAAAGACCCAATGATGAACTCCCCCCCGTCCGTGAAAAAATTGTCTTCCACGAAACCGGTCCCTGATCCCAAAAAGGTTGGGGACCGCTGATTTCGAGGCATAGCGGGTCAAGTTGACCCCCGATCGGGTTCGTAGGTACTGGGCAGAAACCTCTCCCCTGCTTAACAGCTGTTGTTGAATATGGCGGGCAGCTCACCTGTTGAGGGTGCAGCGTAGCGCCAGGCTGGCTGAGTGGAACACCTGCCCTGTGTTGTCGTGCAGGTGAGCGACGAGCGCTAGCGAGGCCCCGAGTGGGAAGTACGGCAGCGGCTCGCGGCCCAACGTGTAGAGCGGCAGCGCCACGCTCACACGCACATATGCCACCGCCGCCACCTGTGGCACAACGGAAGCAACCCATGTGCTACCCGGCAACAATAAACACCGGTCGACTCCAGAGATGAGTCAAACCAGGAGGTGTGGGATGATTTCGACCCCCCCCTCCATCCTGACGTAATTTCAGGTAACAATTCAGAGTCATGAATCCTGACTTAAAGCTTTCGTGACTGCAGGAATTCATGTTCTTTGGGTCTTTCAGTAAAGTCTTTCGGTAAAGTCACGTAGATAGGTTCAAAGACTTTACCGAAAGACCCAAAGAAAAGTAATTAATCCGTTCAATATGTAGTCTCGTTTGTACCGTTTTGTCCAACTCTTTGTATTGTCTGTTGTGTATGTATTGTTCCCCTCTTATCTGAATGTTGTTATCGGGGTGGTGACATGGCCCAGTGGCAGCCCGCTTGCCGCAATGTTGCAGAGGTTCACGGTTTTAATCCAGCGAACGCCCTGGTTATTACTGCGGGTGTACGAAACACAAATATACTACGTGTCGTGTGCTTCCTCGTGGGCATTATAGATCCAATGACGCAATTTGCAAAAGTAGGCTGTGTGCCGGCATCATGACCAATATTTGAAGAAATTACCCACAAATTATCGCCCCACCCTGCAAAATCATGGCAGGACCCTCCTGTTCTATCACTCTTGTTCTCGACTCTTTCTTGTTTGAAGTTTCGTGTTATTTGTGAACGTGTATATACCACACTCATTTCAAAACAATTAAAAAAAAAAATCCATCCTTTTTCTCTTGTTTCCCAAATTAATGTCCTCCCCACTGTATGGCATCTTGAGATGCCGTCAAAAATGTGCTTTGTAAATTCAAGCTGCACTCTACTCGGATTGGATATACGCAGCACAACAGCCGACTTCCACTGCTGGCTTGCCGGCAAAGAGGCCCCCACACACACGCACCCGTACACCGATGACCGCCGTCTGATTGAGGCCAAAGGGCTCCTGGGCGGTGGCGGCGACGATGGCGACGCCGGTCGCAGCGCACGCCGTGACGAGTCCTTGCTCGTCCACCGAAACGACGGACCCACCCAGGGGGCAGTCCAGCACGCGGTAGCTCACGCGGGACACCGCGTCCCTTTGGGTAAATGGGGCAGAGGCGGCAGTGCGAGCGGACAAGTTAGCAGGAGAGTGGGGGGCACAGGCAGGGAGGTTTCTCTCTCTCTTCTTTTTATTCGGTTGTCACATGGCAGCTGACGATAAAGCTTAAGCAACGTCTTTCACTCATTTCTGTGATTATGGCGACCGCTAGGATGTGATGTGGCCCAGCGGTAGCGTATTCATCGCTTGTTCAAATCCGGAAAGCCCACCTCGTTAATACTGTAGGTGCATTAATCATAAAATACTATGCGCCGTCTGCTTCACACTAGACGTTAGCGATCATGTGACGTTATTCGAAAAATGTGTGGGCCATTGTGTGCAGACAGCATAAACCATATTTTTACCAATAAGAAAAATCAGTTGTAAATTTCTCGATTGGAATAAACACATAAATTGTTGTCTCGAGGCTTTCCCGGGTAAATAAAATGCGATCAAAACAAGTCCAGCTTCATTTTTCATGGACTCTCTCTACTTCTTGCTCCTCATACATGGCAGTGCAAGGCCACAAATGGTAATGTTGGTCTAAATAATTTTTACCTGTCCAAACTAGAAGTCTGCATCTTTGTATATTTTACACCACAGTCGCTCGCTGGCCTAGCTTATTTTTAATGGTCTAATTTCAAAGGGCTGTTCAGTATTTTTATTATTTTTATCATCATATGTACAAACAAGCATTCTAACGATCACACAAGCCCACGTTAACGTCTGCCGCAGTGACGGAGAGCAGCAACGATCAGACACATGCCTGTTGGTGTGCAGGGGGAACGTGGCCTTTGGAGACAGGAGCAGCTGGCGCGTGTCACCCTCCGGGTTTGTGATCTCCAGCTTCTCAAACACCTGGATCTGCACCTCGTCCGTCAGCTCCCGGACGCCGCCCTCAAACTGGCCAGCCTTAGGGTCTGTGGCCCTCACAGTAACCTTGAGTACGACGCGGCCCTGGGCGCGGCCCCGCAAAACCAGCGAGAAGCTGTGCCGTTCCGACAGCTGCAGCGACGCCTGCACGCACGCAAAAGGCGCAAGAGGTAAATGTGCAGCCCTGCAATTGGCCGCTCACACCAATGTTGGTAGAAGGCCTCCACTAAAGGGAGTGCTATAGGGGAATGGAAGTTGAAACAATTGACATTTTTTTAAATACTGCCCCCACCTCTGTCCACCCAGCTATAGAGAGCTTTAGAGAGCGTTAGAGGGTATTGGAAATACTCTTCCACATTGGTCAAAGGTCTTTGAAGAAGTGGGAGTACCCACTATTTACCCCACCATACGCGATTTGCCAATTGACTAACTGCAGTGAACCCATTTACACTGCTGAGTGGACAGAGGCGGAAGGGCGATTGAAGAAACTTACACCATTGCTTCAACTGCCGTGTCGGGAGAACGAACTGGTGACCTCTGGAATGCAGTTCCAATTACACAATGGCAGCACGTATTGTGTTTCAATCACGTGTAAACCATCATTAATTTGCTGCAAACATCTTGATAGAGGACCGCAGAGTTTGGGCAACTGTTAGTGCCAGTTCATCACCTAGCTGCTGTCTTCCTACTCATCTGCAGTCCCAAGAGCCTTCGAGTGGAATGAAAAATGTACGGTGCGTTCCAAGGCTAAATATGTTTTTATTATTATTTTTATGATCGTCTGCTCCTATGTACACGATTTCCAGTGTACTCTTGTGATCACACTGTCCGGTGTGCTCCCATGTCGCGCAGTCTCACGTGCTCTTATACCTCCGAGTGGCGGCCACGTAGTTCCAGCACGTCGCGCTTGCTGACGCTCCAGTGGAAGGTGAATGCTGGACGGATGCTGCCGAACGAGAAGGGGGTCTGCCCGCTCCCCAGCCCCGTCACGTACACCGGCATCTGCGGGTGGCGAGGGACAGTCGCAGGAAGCAAACAAACTTAAACATGCAATGCTGCCTCATGTTATATTCAACTAATCATGTGGGTAACAATCAATCATGTTCATTTGGTATACGTCGTAATGGCTTCAAGAAACCACTTAGTGCTAGCAACAGTAGCTGAAGCACCCAACATTACAACTAAGCAAACCCCTCCACTTACCAGCACGAGGTATACCAGCCGACGAAATAAACAAGGACACTCCTTCACTTTTCAACACGAGGTATGCCAATAGAGTACCATGATGCCCCCACGCGGCACGACTAAAGTGGGACCCCACTCACCAGTGAGCTGGTCATGATGCGAGTGAGCGGCACGTGGATGCGCACACCGCGCAGGGGAACCACCTCCACGTCAACTGCGTCCTGGAGTGGAAGACAGTACCCACGTGACAGGGGAGCATATTAACTCATTAACTCCACCCTCCGATTAAAGAGAAACGGTCCTGGGGTAAAAAAAAAACAACGCAGCTCTCAACTGTGAAGACGTGCATGCTAAGGGATTCCCAACAAGTAAAAAGTGTGTAAGTAACCATTGGTTGTCACTCATCTCTTGTCGCTGATCCTGGGACCGTGGAGAAAATTCCACATTCCTTCGGGCGAGGACCGTTTATGCAAAATAAGACACTGTTAAATTACTGCTGTATGCTTGATGAAGGTGCGTAGCAAAACATGGTCAGCCACCGTGGTTTTTAAAACTGTACATGTTTTAATTATGGCTCGAGTTCAATGTATACATTGAGAGAGATTATCACACACTCGGCTCGGCTATGTCGGTGCTACGACAGAGCAGGTATCTCACATTTGGAAGACTCAAATAATTTCACAACTGAACTCAACATTCCTCCAGGGTCGATAAAACAAACGTGCCTTTGTGGGAAGTAAACGGTGGTTGTGCTAAGGACAGAATGACCTCATACGACTCGTCACCAACATCTTCGGGACCAGCAGTGGCAACGAGCACCCATCACCGCTTGTATGGGGCGCAGACACTTTAAAACGAGGCCACAGGCACCACCATTCGGGGCTGGGTCCCGGCACAGCGGGGCGTACCTGTGAGAAGACGACAACCTTCCGCATGTCGGGATCGGTGGCCTGGATGGAGCCGAGCAAGCGCGTGGTGCCCAAGGTCACCGCCGTGACATGGCCCGCCGAGCCAACGCGCGCCACTGTGCCGTTCTCCAGTCTGAACACGAGGTTTGACTGAGGCTGGGGTCCACCCTCTGACATCACCTGCACGAGGCGAGCAGTGGAGAAGGTGGCACAATTTCATCAGCAACCCTTGCCGTCAGAAGCTCCACCATCTCATCTACTCTGTAGTCTCAATTTAAAGCCTTCACATTATAGAGTATAAACAGGTCCTTGCAGGGTGGGCTGGTAGGAACATTGGAATTTTTTTTACACCCAACAGCACGAGATTTCACTTCGTTAAAGTATTGAAAGGGGACGGACGGACGCATTAATCTATTGCAGGCTGGTACACTCAGTTTACAACTTCGTTCCTACCAGTAAAATATTGCTCTCAGGAGCTGAGTGTGTTTCAATTCCAAATGTAACCTCAAGCCTTGACTTGAATACAATCGAGTTTGTGCCCTGTGCCGGTATCCTGTGAAACCTCCTCACCTGCATCTTGGCTCCAATCAGCAGCACCAGCTTGCGTGGGGACAACTTGAACGGAGGAAACACCTGTGCAGTCACAAACACAGAACATACTTAAAAGACGCTCAATGTCGCACTACTGTCGACATGGGTGGTTAACTATGAGGGCACTTTAAGAAGCAGGGCGGAGGCTGCGTTTAGAGGTAGAGACGAACGGGTGCCGAACCAGTGGGGACAGGTGCCACAGGTGCAACGTGCGCCCCTTACCTGTATCTCCTTGGGCATGGCGTTGATCTTGCGGCCAGTGCGATCCCGAGCCGATGCGGTGAGCGTGGTCTGCCCCACCGCCAGCCCATGTACCAGGTACGCCACCGACACGTCATCAGGGGCCTCCAGCAAGGGTCTGGGGGTGCGGTCAGTGCAAAGCATCTCAATCTTGGGGAGCAGTAGTGTAGCGGTTAGCGCACTGCACTATGGACCTGGCGACCCGAGTTCGATTCCCGCTCACGGCCAACACCATTGACAATCATCTGAACCGGTCATGGGCCTCCCCTAGGTCGAATCAGCCTCAAATAAGTGCCCGGTGTGGCGTGTAAACATCGCCACTGGGCAGACAAAAGGCGGTCAGGCGTGGTGTTGGCCACCCACCCCTCATGTGCTGTGCCCGAAACAGTCTGTTCTGGCTATAAGGAGGGTCTTTGTTTCAATCTTGTGCATCCGCACCTGCGTGGGTGCGTGCGCAATCCTATCAAAGGGAATTGAGATTTAACAGTGGAATCGTGGTATTCAAACAAGATTGCAGCAGGAAAGTGCGTTTGTACATGCGTGTGTGTGTTTGTTTTTGCTCACTCCAAATTCAGGATGTTCGAGGCAGACGTCAGCTTGAGTCCCATGTGACGGAGAAACTGGGACAGGAAGGGCTTCCGCTGGTGATCCAGGACCCGCACGTATGCACGAACCGCCTTGCCAATCTCCACCTTCCCGTGCCCAGCAAAGGCAACACATCGACAGTGGTTCGCTAAGCAACAATAACAATGGACCTCCTTACTGATGGCCGAGTAGGATTTCTTTGGGCGGGTTCACACATCAACACATACTCCAGTCATGTCACTACAAGAGGCCCTTACATTCACACAAGTGACCGAGTGTGCTACAATTGTAAATCCAGTATCGTCAGGATTGAATCTTCCCCCTCTAGAACCCGAGTAGTATGGCTATGTTTGCAGTGATGGATAAATGTTTGAGGGTCGTTTTAAAGTGGTAGGCCTCACATGGCCTTGGGCCGCTTTAAATTAAATCATGGAATGCATATGGCCCATGGGCCGTAGGATTCCCCACCACTTGACTAAAGCTACGGAAGTGATAGAAATGTTCCAAATCTGTCGATGTTACATTAACACCAAGTAGTACGCAACTGCGATAGATCTTCTTGGTCATCATGGCGGCACCTTGTCGAGGACGTCGATGAGGAGCTCTTGAATGTTGGAGACTCGGACCTCTGCACGGGCAGACGACGGCAAAGCCAGGCACAGGTCGAGCACCAGCAGGGACAGAGTGCCGGGCTGTAGGGGCACCACCTGGCATCGGCAAACGGGCAAAATGGGGAGGGGTAAAGTAAGATGAGAGAGGGCCATCAGCAAAGGGTAGGGCTTGGGGGGGGGGAAGAGGCAACGAGAGGAAGTAAGGTCTGAATAAAGCCGAATGGGCAACACAAAAACAAACACCTGCACCAGCAGGGGACAGCACCATCCATTGACAGAAACCACTGTGTGGGTGAAGTAAGATAAGTGGCACAGGGTGCGTTAGCCGTGAGGAACTATTTTAGGTAACCTAATCATTTTAGGCTCCCTAAAATGAATTTATGCATCGCTTCACCCATCATATATGTTCATCCACAGCCCCACCACATAAGGTTGGATTATGGGTGAAGGATACACGATGCAGTGCCATACAGATGCGCGCTGGAGAAATCCCCCCCCAAAAAAAACTCCACACCGTCCACCTGTGACGTCTCAATAAATGTGTGGTTAAACAGGGGTGCGATCCCGACACTCGGGCGTGAGCAGGGGTGCAACCGAGCGGAAACCCCCGTGGTGGCGTGCATTGCCGGGCAGCGCACACCCTCACCTCCAGCTCGCTCTGGGCTCTCTGGTACACCACCGAGCACACATCACACACCTGCAGTCGGCAAGGTGAGGGGTGGTGGCATGGGTGACACCGAGAAGCAGCGAAAACAGCGCTAGCCGTTGATGTAGCGCCGGCATGAGATCAACAGCAGCGGTGCACACGCGCGGCAAGGGATGGATCCGATGAAAGTTTGGAATGCGAGGAACATGAGTTCTTGAGAAGAGAATATTGACTCTAAAGATAATGGGAGCCAGACTTGACACAGGGAGCATGTGGTATCCAGTGCAAACACAAGTTTACCACAGTAATTCAGTAGATTAAGACATTCTTTCAAACTGAAGTAGTCAATCAATCCCTGACCTTTAGTTGAAGATGAACTCAGATAACAAAAAGATATTGTCCCACAAGACACACGCTCAATGGCAGAGCCAGGATTTTCAGGTAGAGGGGGCAACCCCTCTAGAAATGAAAAATGATAGGAGTTGTTAGTAAGAACTTGTCCCTTGCTTTTTATTCGACGCATGTGCGGCGATGGCGCAGCCATCAAACGAGGGTCGAATTCGAACCGTGTGTGATCGGCATCGAGCTTGTTGAAGGTATGCCTTCAGGGAAGTCGTGTACTGTATACGCAACTGCGCACAATTATGTGAGTCACTTATAACTGCTTTGCCGTTACTTATTGCCAATTATGGACTCAGCCTATTGTCCTATCATCTCATAGAGTCGCTGGCACATAATAATATGCTACACAGTGGCAGTGGGGGTCGCAAAATGCCGATTTATCTATATATATAAAAGGGAAATTTGTGAATGTGTGTCTCTTCGAAATGTTTAGCATACTTCCCGACATGCAACAAACTTGAACTTTGGCATGTGGGTACTTTCCAGACTGTACACCATGCAAAAATTATAAAAATAGACTTTTGAATTTTTTTTTGAGGGGGGGGGGGGCGCAATAATGAATATATTTTGCACGGCAAGTGAGCTGTGACGTCACATCTGTCATGTGACCCGCATGCGGTAGCGTTACGCAGTGTGCCTGCTGACGTCACGCATCCCCCCCCCCCAAACCCTCCGCGTAGGCCCTGTATCCCGCACAAATGCGCGGCTGGGGGGGAGGGGGAATAATGGATATAATATACTAGGCGACAACTTTTAATTAGCCATGTGGCTAGCTCCCATACTGTACACAATGTAAAACGTATAAAAATAGACTTTTGTATTTGGGGGGGGGGGGGGAATGACCATGAAGTGTGTGGCGTCAACCCGCATACAGGAGTGGCGAGAATCGGTATGTGGTGAGCGTTTGTGGTATCGATTAAACGGGAATAGGCCGATTCTAAAGAAATCTACAACCTTCGATTCCTTTGCTCCATTTAAAGAATCGAATCTTGGCGCGTGAGCGTAAGTTTTTATTTCCACCGCGCGTTGGGTTTTATTTTTATTAATGAGGTAATGATAAAAGTTTTTTTTTCATTTGTATATGTTATGTTTTTAAGTTTTAAAATATATTTTCCCCCCGGGCAATGCCGGGTATACTTCCCACTGGTTACTAATAAACCCCAATGATCCGATCGAAATCTCTAATTTCGATCGGATCATTTGGGGAGCAAGTGCCACCCCACCCCCCCCCACTGGCTTCACCAGTGCACACACCTAGGTTCCGTGTGTCCTCGGCTCTCTGACACAGGTTTTAATGTTGTAGTGACGTCAATTGCGCCATAAAAGCATTTTTGTGACATCACTGCAGCACCTCATCTCAGACAGCTCAGGACTCACAGCGTGGCTACACAAGCTGTTGGGTTTTGTGGGTGTTGCATATTTATTTATTCCCACTGAGCAAAAGTCTCTGGCAACAGAGACCAACAAAGTCCTTGCACACAACAGTCAAATATCACAAAGTGAACTGATAGCGGTCAGCCTTACACACACCTGCACAGCGTTGACATCCTGGTGATTTATCTGCATGACGTCGTTGCCGCTGGCGTTGACGTGAAAGAACCCCGAACCTTCGCTCAGCGTGAGTGTCACCTAAGAGGGGACGAGTCACACACAACAACAGCTGCCATTCGTCAAAATCACCGCAGCGGTTGTGCAAGGCTAGGTCCACTTTTAGGATGAGCAAAGTGTCGGTGGGACATGCATGCAGGATGCGTGAGGGTCAATTGCCAAGACAGGCATTAGAGTAGTGTCTATATTATTCTTTGTTTTTTTTCGGTAAAGTCACGTAGAAATAATAAAATACCATAATAGTGTACGACGTTTCGATTGCAACACAAGCAATCGTCATCAGGTACAGAAGAGCTAAATTTACGAGAGAGAGGAGACACATAACCGCAGATATATGTACAGACACAGATACAACAGGGGATACAGAGAGAGAGAAACGTGTGAGCACACTAAATCAAACAGGTTTTAGCAAGATTTGGAAACTATATAACGCAACACAGACGGTCGGTCAAAACACAATTAACGCAAGGTCAGGTTGATTACGTTATTTCAAAGATTGCTAAATTGTAAGTTAAATTGTAAGTGTGAAATCTAAAAAATATACAGTGTCTACATATCCAGCGACCAATAAGAAGACCGAAGACCAGATGGTGGTGTGATAACTGTCAGGGCAGGGCAGATCTTGTTTACTCTACGGCAGCTGCGGGAACTGGCGGAGGGAAGAAACTTTGCCGAGGTGAGATGGCATTAATGGCTGTGGCCACGACGACACCTTGATCTTGAAGTGTCAAAGGCTCGCCACGAGTCGAGTAATCAAGTGAACTGACTGACTAATCGTCCCAGCTATAGGCAGGAGATTACAGACAAGTAGTGCATGAGACTGGGCTCCACCTTGGCTTCAGGATGGTTGAAGATGGTGAGGTTGTTCGGGGAGATGCTGACGTCCTCCACGAGGAGCAGCTCGATGGAGGCTGAGACGGTCGGCAGTGTTAGGTCCTGCGGGTCGCGCACGCGCGTTTACGTTAACACGCGTCACACACGTGTGTGTGCAATATAGCGACGTTCAGGACAAACGGCCCACAAAGCGCTTAACAATCCACACCACAATAAATAAGTACAAACAAGACAAAGATATTCATAAACTCAACTAAATATACATCATTGTTAATAAACAAGTAGGCATGTAAACACTCCAAAAAACACAGAAATCTGAATAATTATTATGGGTTTCGGGTCACAAGTTGAATCAAGAAATACTTTCCGTCTCTTTAGTAGTCTGTTATGCCTTGCTTATTCCATTAACTTTAAGGTAACATTTACAAGTGGGTTTGTAAAAATCCTAAATGTCTAAAAACGCAAAGCATAGCATCTTGAGCAGAACAACTGAAGTTAATTGGTGAATGGATGAGTCGTTAAGTGCCCAGCAATATACACCCCAAAGTCACAAGACTACGACAGACAACCCCAATCTAGAGCCACGCGTGAACATGTACAGGGGACGTGTGGTTTTCCAAGGCACTTTTAAATTCAACCGCTGTGAAAAGAGGCGCCGTGAGTTTCATTTATTTTTTTCTGTGCGAGCAGCCGACCTCTTTCCGAGCGAGGGTCTCCCGCAGGAGGTGGTCCGAGTACGTGCTGGCGGAGACCTTGATGGTGACGGTCCCTTTCTTACGGTGCGTAGTCACCCGCTGCACACCTGTAGAGACGAGACTCGTGAACGTCCACTCGCATCAGCTCGTTGCCGCCACCGCGTCAAAGCCAAAACCCTTTAAGGTGTGGATGTGATTAAAGTGTGCAAGCTCTCAAGTATACAGAAGGGACTTTTGCACCGAAAAAGGGAACAATGGATGATAATCATCCAGCATCATGACTATGATTACTCACCAATTACCAATACATGACTATGATGAAACAAAAATAACTAGTTTGACAGAAGACCCAGACTAAGATAATGTATTAACATTGTTAGATTGCAAAGCACTGAGGAATACCAAATACACAATTGGCTATGTATGTTTATAGAAGCACTGAGTTCACCGATTGGCTGTGGGGGGGGAATGCACGCCCCTCACACCAACATTTAATAACTAACAGTGGTCTGTATGTTCGACTACTTTAGTCGGTTAGACTAAGAGAAGAACAAAATAAAATATACAAAATAAGACTTGACTAAACTATGACTATATTGCGAATGCATGGGAATCTATAGAGGGTGTCCCATGCTGCCCAACAAAGAGGCCTCTAGGCTGAGAGAAAGGGTGGCCCCACGGCCCGTGGTGTGGGCCTCACTGTATGCGAGGGCCTGGCCAGTGCCCTGCTGCTGCTGCTCCTCATGGAAATGGAGCAACGTGGAGGACTCGGGGAAGGAGGCGAGGTTCGCGTCCGAGGAGAACCACTCCAACGCCAGCGAGCTGAAGTTGTCGAAGTGCTCGCCCTGCTGGTCCAGCGCCACCAGCAGCAGCTGCGCGTCGCGGTGGTTGGACATGGGCACCTAGTGGAGGAGGAGGCGGCGGCAGCAATTGCAAACATCATTATAATCATCCATTAGTGTTTCCCACCTGTAGCAGGGTGGACCTGGTAACCATACTCATCCAAAATAATTTTCCCCCACTCTCTACTTTTCTTCTAAGGCCCTCTAATCTTCCTCTAAGGTTTCCTTGTAATTTCTTACCCTCCCACATTATCGGGCCTGCCTCTCAGGGTCTCCTACCATCCATTTGCAGTTCAAACAACCGTGATAGCAAATGCAACTTAATGGATTGCTATAACGTCTAGATGCAACTGCAACTCAAGACGGTGGATAAAACAGTGTGCATCATTTCACTGACAAAAGCAGTCAGTCTTAGGCAGACAGATAGAGGAAGCTCTTGAGCCTGGATTTGAATAGCCGGAAGGAAGTCAACAGTGCAGATGGCTGGCAGATGACTGCTCCAGACTGTGATGCAGAACAACAACCATCATACACAGGAAGGAAGCACCCACCAGCTGCCGCTTCTGCTGGGTGAGTGGGCATGGACGGCCTGTGGACGTGGGCAAGTAGACGGGCGCCAGGCTGAGTGAAGCGGGGCGCGCGCACACAAAGTGCGTGTGCGTCCACTCCTCTGCGGGCAGCGGGTTTGATGCACTCTCGTGGTTCCCCACCGTCAGCGTGAGCGCCTGCATGCGGCGAGCGTCAGGGGGCACACAGGGAGGGGGTAACTTGGTAAACGATGATCGTCTGCTGTCAGAGTTGAGTTTGAGTGAAGCAGTGTAATTGACTAGGGGTGAATGTAAGCAGGGGTGGAGAACTTGCAGCACGTGGGCCCGCTGCTTTATTTCCAAAAGATTAACAGCATTAACCTGTAGAGATTAAGCTACACTACGACCTACAGCCACAATATTTTCGACCTAGCAGTGCTGTGTTTCTAATTTCAGTGTCAAATCTGTCATTACACAGGAGCTCTATCTATACTCGGCTAAAATGCACATTATTTTCACATTAAGGCGTATGTTAATGTATCGCCCGCAAAAAGGCATCTGAAAGTCCAATTTGGCACTTGGTAAGGAAAATGTTCCCTTCCCGACATTAAGAATATATTCAATTGGAATCAGAATGCAAATTTCTATCATAGTGTGCCTGCCTCTAACTTTAAAACCTTAATGTCACAACAATGTTTCATGAGAGCAGAGCATTTGCAAAGGATTCTCAATTAACCATGAGCCTGGCACCAATATGGCAGTGCAGTGGCCCTTCATAACAGTTGCCGTCACCAGCCCCACCTGCTCTCCGAGCGCGGTGCACAACACCCTGAAGGTGTGGCGCTGGTGCCACTGCTGCTCGCCGTAGCCCACCGCGTGCTTCGTGACAAGGTCCTCGTCCTGAGCGTCCAGTCGTGCATAGAACTTGGATGGCTCCAGCACCCAGGGCCGGGGCCCGCCCTCAAACACCACCTCCTTGGAGGCCCCCAGAGTGACAAGGGCCACGGAGATCGGGTCCACCACCTGGGGTAGGAGGGGGACAGCCCCGGGGAAAAAGTTTTGTTTTACGCAATATCGATCATCTTAAGGTTATCATGGCTACGACATATGAATACCTAGAAAAAAGGGACATTGTTATTACGATGAAAAATAATAATAAATTCCAGACTGTAAATGCATACTCTTTCGTTATTTCGGTAAAGTCACGTAGGTATAAAGAAAGAACCAAAGAGTATGGATTCCTGCAGTCGCGAAAGCTTCAAATCTAGATTTGTAAATCTAATCTGGTGTAAAGGCTCCCCCATGCCATGTCGGTTACATGGGTTGTTTAACCATACTTTACCATGCTGTTGAGTGTGGGTTTATGAAGTGCAGGGCATCTAGGACAGATTCTGATATCACTAGCCATTGATGGCAGCCACAGCCATGAATCAAACTCAGGCCATCGGGTCCATAGTGTGGTACATGAATCACTGTGCCACCACTTCTCCCACCATTATCATAAAAATTCGCTTGCACTTCAAAACGGGCATCAGTCGAGTTGGCGATCGCCAATTGGAAGGGGGCAGCTCACCTTCAGCGGCAAGTAAGCGGCGATGGTGATGGAGTCGTGGAGATGAGTGGTGCCGTGCGTGTAGGAGATGCTGATCGTCGTGTGTCCGGCCGAGAGGGCGCGCACACGCACCGCCATACAGTAACCATTACCCGGAGGCAGGTTTCCTGGGATGGGGAAAAGAGGAGACGTGTGCTCAGCCAACTTTGGAGTATGTACGTGACCGAAGGCACCATGACCAAATCACCCGGAATGCACCCAATCCCGTCAGATCTCAGAAGCTGTAATTCAGCAAGATACAAAGTGTGTCGAGATGACGAGGTGGTTCAGAGATCAGATCGCTGAGCCGACTCAAATCCAGGTGGCTGCCTGTGAGTAAACAGGCTTCTCAACAAGTGTAGTGAGCTTAGCCCAGTCACCAAAATAACACATCGGTAAAATTTTGTTTTTTTTACTTAATTCAGAGAAATTCCAGCTCTGACAGTTATATTATTTATTTTATTGGCATGCAACAAACACTACTCTCAAATGTAGACCAGTGGTCACTTGAAGTGATCATAGTGATCAAGTGATATCCGTTTGCGTTGGCTATTCTGCAACACTTAGCGTTGCACTGCTTTGTGAGATATTCCAGTGGACACCTCGTCTCATGACGCGCTGCCAATAGCTCAGTCAGAATAAAATTGGAGCCAAATTACAAAACAGAGATACATTGCGTATTAATGGGCTCTCGCGTGTTTATAGAGACAATTGTTTACCCTGTGTCGAGCACAGCTAGCACGGCCCTGTTCCCCACATGTGTCGGCATGCATGAGAGCTGGTAGCAGGCGCTTACCCTCGACGACCTGAAACACGGCCGTGTTGGCGAGGTCGGTGGTGAAGTGCATTTGCGAGCAGTCGAAGAACATCATGGTCTGGCGTGTGGCCGGGTCCACCAAGCCGCTGGCACGCACCGGCAGCTCTAGAACCCCACCCACGCGCGCCTCCAGCTTCGAGCGGCCAAACTCCAAGAGGACCACCTCCAGCATGCGCACCTTGCAGAGTGCCACAGATACATACCTGTGAGTCACCTAACTTTTAGTTTATAGAATTGTTACACTTTATATACATTGTAAATAAGACTCTCAAATGCACAATTTGATGAATGTATAACGAAACTAATTTCCACTTGTGATGCGCACAATATATGCTCACTCTTGAAGAGAGACAGAGGGCGACTCCGACACGGGTTGGACACGGGAAAGATTGCCAAGTGGTCAGACGGCACCAATTTTCCCCACAAGCGCTGCAGTCCTCTATATAATAAGGTGTTAATGGCCAATTCATGAGTGTTTACATTTGGGAGGACACCGGATCACATAGAGAAAACCCACACATGCAAGGGGGCAACGATCTATCCGATACAGATAAAGCAGGTGGAGCCCACATTTGCTGTACTGCCTTCTCCTGGCAAGTCAGGGTATGACACCACGACGGTCATAGTTGTGTGCTACCATCACCAGGCTATCCTGACTATTTTCGTGGCTGAATCGATAAGTTGTGGCATGCCGAGTAAATATGATTCTTAGTTGGACGACCAGACCAGAGCCTCACCTTCATGCTGCCAAAATGGAGAGGGTTCTGCACATCCCTGGCACGGATTACACTTGTCCCCACCGCATCTGCTGTCGTTAGCAGCCCCCGCACCGTCACCGTGGCCACCTCCGTCTCAGTCGATGACCAGCTGAAGTTGCCGCTGCCGCCCTCAGCCTGCCGCGCACACCGCCAGGTTGTCACTGTTGCCGTCCACTAGGTTACAGGTGATTGCAATGGCTGAGTTATGAAAGACCGCCAGGGGTAACACCAACAATCATGCATGTGTTGGTTTTCGGGAGCATACGCCGAGACAGCATGTAGCAGTGTCCGCCCTCCGGCATGAACCCCTAGGGTCCCATCCTGGCAAAGCCCCCAAGTGAGCTCCCTTCCTATCCCCAAACGTCAACGATAACGGTTAATCTGATGCAGTCACGAAGCTTGTGGTCGATCGCTCAGCCTCCCCCTCCACCGATGAGATCCTCTAGCAGAGAACCTGGTGCAGCATCAACCAAGGGCAATCGACTGCCGTACAGTCGTTGGCATTCCTGTATTGTAGAGGTAGTGAGTCTCAGCTTGGTTTCCTGCCGTACATGCCGTTTTGACACAAAGTCATCCCATTGGTAGTCCAAGATGAGCTTTAAACAAAAACGAGCCACTAAGTATGTCTTTAATAATTAATTTATCCAGTAATGCATCACTGAGTTCCAAAACTGCTTCAAGAGAATCCTGCATAGGGATGCTTGGCCAATTCTGTTTCAGTATTTTAAATGCCAGGAAACTGGAGCACCCTGTAAAACCAAGACGCAGGAAAGGGTAACGGGCATAGGTCTGATAAGCTATTGTTCACCTCTTCTTTCGATCAATTTGAGTTCCACTACTGAAAAGAGCTGAACCACGTGTGATTATGAATACTAAACTTCCCCCTACCCTTCCTACCCACCGCTCCCAAGTACCTTGAGCGTGTAGTGGTAATGCACGCGGCTGGGCTGCCACGGGTAGATGAGAAGGGGCGGCTGCAGAACTATAGGGTCAAAAATCTCCACCTCCTGCTGGTTTGAGATTGTCTGCGGGAGAGCCAGCGATTTTCCATTCTGCAGGGCACAAGATGACAACGCAGTTCCACAGCCACGGAGGTGAAAAAGCAGTTATTTCTCAGTGGAGGTCACGCGTACACAATCATCCTAATTTCATTATAATTTTATGAAGCATAATTATTCGTAAATAGTGGTTCTAAAAATGATGAACAATGTGAGCTGCTCTCCATATGCCATGTCCTTATTCTAAGATGTTGGAGATAATGGCCTTCCATTTAAAATCTCTCCATAACATTTCTCAAGAACCTTGCATTCAATACTCCCAGTTGCATCCAATTGTTAAAATTTCTTATGTACTTAATTCAGTGTTGTCCAGCTTTTTTGAGTTGCATTTTAGCATAAAAAGGTTGAAAATACCATACGTGAACTAGACAGGGCGGCAGTCAAGTCTTGAGTGCCCAACATTGGAGAAAGACCATACATTGGTCCAAATCATCAATCGTTGGAGGAGATAAAGGTTCCCCCCCCTCCCAAGGATGAAGCAATAACACATGGAGTTATGGTTCAATTGAAGAATACATTTACACTATCAACACTGCGAATCAGCAGCCACTGCAGGGGGTCATACAGCCTATACCAATCAAAAAGGCTTGCCTGTATCGTGAGCTTCAGAATCAATTTGAATTCATTATTGTGAATGAGCGGTTGAGTGACGGACTTCCTTGACGTAGTCTCTTGGCATAAAACTCAGTAAAACTAGCCGAGCCGGATGGTTGGCAGTTAAAGTCTTAATGTATTTTACAACTCTGAATTCAAATGTTTCAGAAAATTTTAATTGAATGTACAGACGGTTTTTTTTTATTTAAACACAGTTGCTCAGCACAGGCCAAAAGGCCCAAAACATTATTATTGAAGTTGCAATAGATAACAGTTAACGTTTTTTTTTTATTGAACAAGGTTATATTTCAAGCATTTAATAATGATCAAGCTTTTATATACACATTCTTGTGTGTAAAAAATGGAATGGTGTTTTGCAGCATTGAGTTTAAAATGGAATTTGCTCTTTTCTGTACTAAAATCCAGGTCCTCCTTTTAAAGGCGACTTCTGGTCTCAACGGGCTAATACCTGGAGTGCGATCAATGGGAAGAGCGCTCTACCGTGGCACTACGAGGTCGAAATTAGCTCCAAAAGAATGGTGCATTAGGACGCTGAGAGCCTCACAATGGTTGAGTTATGTCACCCGGTCAACCAATAACTGCGCGTGTCATGCCCACGAACCGAGAGTTCACAGGAAGGTACGGTGCCTGCGACTGTCTGGATTGACATCCCCAACTAACGCTCAGCAAGGTAGCCTTCTCATACTGTTACGTTACGATACACTCCGGGCTGCGAACAGGTAGTTAAATCGACAAGCACTCTGGAGTGCTTTGAAGCGCTCTGTCCATTAAATGCACCCCTGGTTATCAATTAAGTTCATTTACCTGTCAATATATCAACACGTAAAATTATCATGACAGTAATGATGACGATATCTGTACAAATGTGTCAGCGGTGTGCTATGCAAGTTTTTTTCGGATGCCAATAAAAGCTTAATGTGCAGTTTATTGCACCGTTTATTGCCTTATATGGTGTGTTTGCTTAGTGTGGGCCTGTGCTGGGAAAGCTGATAAGTGGTGCAGGTAATTGCAATTGTTTTACAAGCAGCTGCGCACGCGCACACACACACACACACGCTCACCGGGGCCAGGACGTGGGCGAGAATGGCCTTGACCTCAGTCTGTCCCCGGTGGAGGGCCTGCACGCGATGCTGCGACCCATTCAGGTTTGACTCCAGGACGTTGAAGAATTTCTTCGGGAACGTTGTCTCGATGCGCACATTCTGTACACGTCAAGTCAATCCGAGAAGCAGAATGGAGTGAAACATTCCCATTGCGCTAGCCCTGAGTGTGGTCAATACAAATCTCTAAGGTTCCAAGAGACAAAGGCTGCAATATTATGGACATGTAAAAAGGAAGCCCCCAGTAAACCTTCACTCAGTGGAAGGTCACTCATCCTCCTCTGCTGTACCCAGAGTCTGGAACTCCCAGCACCCAGCCATCCATATTGGCTCTCTACCCAAATCCAGTCTCAAGACCTTCCTTTTTTCCTCCGGCTATGACAGACCCCATTCTCCTGCAAAAAGAAAATGCTATGCCCAATCTTGATTTGAAGCTTTCGTGACTGCAGGAATCCATACTCTTTAGTTCTTTCGGTAAAGTCACATAGGTAGAAATCAAATAAAAAAATTACGATGCCCAATGTCTCTGCAGATCATCTTGAAGATGCGGTTGCAATTAACATACTAAATAAATCAACATTGCATTATATTACTCTTTGGTTCTTTCGGTAAAGTCACGTAGAAAATCAAATCAAATAATAGAATACAACGTTTCGGTTGCAACACAAGCAACCATCATCAGGTAAGAATGAATGATAAAACAGACACGAGAACAGCATAGGCAGACACACATGCAGAAAGAGACACACACAAAAACACACCGAGCGAGACTCACACCAAGACAAACAGAGACCCATAGACTTACACAGAAACCATAAGCTCGCATAGACTCTCTACCCCCCGCCCTCTATCACTCTGCCCCCCTCTCTCTATTTAAGGCCTCGACACAGAGGCGTTGTTTCTCTGTGTGCCTATGTGTGTGTCTCTCTGTGTGTCTGTGTTATCTCTCTGCTTATGTGTCTGTCTATGTGTCTCTGGTTCTGTGTTTTGTCTCTCTCTCAAATGTAGCAATCTTTGGAAGAATGTAATCAACCAGGTAGGGTGTTGACTGTTAAGTTAGCCGACTATCTGTGTTGTATTCTTAGCTCTTTCGGTAAAGTCACGTTGAAGGGAAACAATAAAATATATATAAAACAATAAAAATTCTCACGTTTCGACCATAACACAAACGGTCGTCATCAGGTTTGTGTTATGGTCGAAACGTGATAATTTTTGTTGTTTTATATATATTTTATTATTTTATTGTTTCCCTTCAACGTGACTTTACCAAAAGAGCTAAGAATATGAATTACTGCAGTCACGAAAGCTTTAAATCAAAATGTATCTGTGTTGTATTGCATTATATTTCTGAGTTTACTAGGTTTGTTTTCTCTTTCATTTGTACCTAATGATGATTGCTTGTGTTGCAATCGAAACGTCGTATGCTGTTATTTAATTTAATATTTTCTCTTTCTACGTGACTTTACCGAAAGAACCAAAGAGTAAGTCCTGCAGTCACGAAAGCTCCAAATCAAGTTAGACAAATCTAAATTTGGTATTGTATTGAAAGACCGCAGGTCCGCAGAGCAATGTGCGTGATGTGCATCTGCCACTTACGTCGGTCAGGTGAATACGGTTGCCATTCTTGTCGAACACTTCCACCGTGATCCAATACTCACGCCCCACTTCCAACACCCAGTGCTCTCCCGGCTCGATCAGAAAACCTGCCGCCACATACACAACCCAAAAAACAAAGATCCCCCTTCATAGCCTCAACAGACTGTTGAGGAAAGTGCTGTTAGTGAGCGCCTACGAAGGCCTTTGTCTTTCCAGTGGCGATTTTTACACATCGCACCAGATACTAATTTGAGGCCGAGTCGACCTAGGGGAGGTCCATGACCTAGTGCAGAAAACCATCACTGGGGTCGCTGAGTTTGTAACGCAGCATGCTACAACTTCCCATACAACCCAACGCACACACACATACACACGTTCTCTCTCACTGCTCCCGTTTAATGGAACACGTAAACCCACAAAAACAAATGTCTCTCATGTTGGATATATACATGGATTTTGTGTACAAGGATGATGCAAATCTTCCAGCTCTATTAACGATAAACAAACATGACTATCAGGAGCACTGCCACAGCTTTTTCCCGTGACACCACTGTGGTATATGTCAATGAATAAGGACTGTCAATCAGGTAGAAATGATGTCTTGATAAGGAAGAAACTCAGAAAATGTCATTGCAGAGATATCACAATGGTACTTTCGAGGATTTTATGAGGTTTTTTTCACCATTAACGAAGGCTGAAGCTAATGTTGGACAGCCAAAGACAAACGCCCAAATTATATAATCTACATAACTAGCCTTTAGCCCTTCCAAGGACGGGTGTATTGCAGTAAATCTGAAACTTGCAAGTCAAAAGCAGACCACGACGTGATATTCATTGCATTAATGCGTGTGCAATTTGTAAGGGCGCGGTGACACAGACCTATTTCATTTTAAGGTTATAATCCCTTGTTCATCATGACGTAATTTTTACTTCTATGTCTCAACAGCAGCGTTACGGAGATCGCGTGACGTGAGGGTTCTGCCTTTGCCGCGAGGATTGTAAGTTGACGCCGAGGAAGGGGGGGATTATTAATGAGGGGGGGTGCTCCATGTGAAGTGACGTCACCTGTTCATGATTATTAATGGGGGCGGCTGGTCAACGTGGAGTGACGTCACGAGCGTTGCACACAGACATTCTTGGCTCATTATAGTAGGTAATAATAATGGGTGGGGGGGGGGTGTCCATTAAGAGGACGTCTCCTGCTCATTATTATTAATGAAGGGGGCTGTTCGATGTGGGGTGACATCACGGACATTAAGGACAGACATTCCAGGACGATTGTAGTAGGTATAGGAGCAATGCGCTGTTAAGGTTTCCCTCTTCTATTGACACGATCTGAAGGGAACCTATGGGTACCGGGGGTCGTAGGATTGGCGCTCACCGAGGAAGGCGGCCTCGATCACGTAGACAGTGGAGTTGGGGAGACGCGAGACACCCTGCATGCGAATGTCTGATTCAGGCGAGTCAAGGAGTCCCAGTTACAACGTACGACGTATGCAAATCGCAGCCGATGGCCCAAAAAATTTGTGGTGAAAATCGTACGCGACGCCTATTACCAATGCCAGACACACTGGAGGTGGCAGTCCACATGAAGAGTCAACAAAACCCTGTCAAAAAAGATTCACACACAGACCTCTTGTCAAAGTCACATGTGGATAAGGGCCTCCTCAGGCTGTCCAGAACGTGAAGTTAATTTGACCACACTTCACAAAACTGGTCAGAGCGGACTGGTTAAGGCGGGGAGCACAGACGTGGGGGAATGGAAGTACAGAATAAGGGATTATTCTGCCCTGCCCTCTGCTGCCAACCACATTGGTCCATCTCTACAAGTTGCGAAATTTGTTTTCCTTGTCTCATGGCAACTGGAAACCAATAGCACTATCTGAATATAGCTCGAATTAATCTATAGAACACCGTTTCTAAATATACACGAACAAACGTATGATGGTCATATAGATCATTGGGATTGTTAAGAAAAGTGGGTTTTGGCAGAACAAATCGCTAGAAGGGATGACGATTGGTCGACAATAATAATGGAATGTCAGCCAAAGAAGAAAAAGTGCTCCAGGCTATGTCCATTCCAGAAAAGGAGCAATGAAAACAGCTAACATACAGAGGCTAGGTGGCTTGTTACATTGCAGGGCCATGCGAGATGGTGACAGGTTTTGGGAGGTCTTCATGTAGCAGTGGATAAGTCAAGGCAGATGATGATGATAACGTCCTTCATCTGCATTGGGATAATTGGCCAATTCAATCTTTAATGAGTGCTGTATGCAGGAGGATGATAATTTGTGGACTGTTGTAATCGTCCTAAGAGGAAATTAGTCACAGACACGCTAATAAAGGCAACTCATTACACGCGGCACAGGGTGAGGATGCTCTTGTGCACAAGGAGGAGGCTTGTCTGCCCCAGATTCTGGGCCACCAGGACGGAGGTCTGCACATCCAGCCGGGCCACAGGCCCATTCTTTGTCACCGGGCCCTGCAGCTGCAGCTCATACTGCTCCGATGGCATCGGGATGTCTGCACCAGGCAAACAGAACAAAATATACACGCGTGCAAAGAAGATGACACACCCTCAACCGCTTGGAAAATGCACCACAGTTGCTGCTCCGCATGGAGGCGATGCTCGCATTAGACTGCAGCAAGGCACATAGGAGTACACAAGGGAAAAGCTTTGCGCACATAATACACGCAGCACAGTCGTGTCACATGACACATTACAAGGCACTATTATAGAGCAACAAAGGTGCCACTTGCTTTTTGTACACCATTAAAGAAATCTCAATAAGGTATGATGGAAGGACCGACACCAACGGTTGCAATCACTCATTTTTCTGTATGGAAATCGACCGTTGTGTACATTGTTACTCCTGTGGAGGGGGAAGTTTTACCAATGAGGCGGCCCTGCTTGACCTTGAGCACGCGGTAGTGGATGTGTGTGTTCACGAGGAGGTACACGTCGTGCGCGGGGCTCAGCAGGATGCTCTCCAGAATGACGAGGCGCACCTCGGTCGCCTCCACACCCTGCAAGTGCCGCCAAACATCACAGGCAAGCAGTTCCTTTGAGGTCAAAGTGTAACCATATCATATATGTAACTTTATTTTGCGTATTCTAACTAAACAACATCTCTTTCTGCTTCCTCCCACGCACTTAGATAAGTTAAGAAATATCTAAGTCTGTGCTCTCCGGTTGCCAGCTAGCTCAAAAACTCAATGAACAAGCACTCCTGAACCCTAACATTCCCTCACATAGCCTCTTTTACCAAGCTCTTATAACCTTGCTCAAGAAACATGTTAACGCTTATCTAATACAACTTTGACAGTGCTGTTTGTTACTGGCCGCTTGACATTTTGGCCCTTTGCTCAGTAACTATGTAAAAAACAACAGCAAATGAGGTTGCATGCATTAAAAGTCTTGTCTGGATATATAAGTGGCACTCACATATCTGTGCACTACCCCATTCTAAAGAACTGCCTCTGGGAGGTGACTTCTCATTTGCCCTGCTGCCGAGACGTTTGTCACATGACAACCAAACCAGATATTATGTAACCCACAGAGCGAGAAATTTACCAAAACCCAGCGACTAGTAGTTGATTCCCAGCTGTCGACATCAGTGACATAGGAAGACAAAGGTGGTCGTGCATGGTGCTAGACACAGCACACATTCACATGCAGTGCTTGCCTTAATAGGTACTCGTGGCAATTCTTCCACAACAGTCTATATGGCCAAGGGATCTTCGTCTCTGTATATTCACACACTCGTGTTTCCCACCTTGTACAGGGGCTCTCGTATTTTGGTCTTGACGCGGGCGCTGCCCGTCTTGAGGCCAGACACGAGCATGCGGTCGCCCTGCCGGCCTTTCCTCTCCATCTCCAGGATGTAGGCCGGTGGCCGGTACGCCGCCTCGGAGAACCGGAGAAATCTGCATGCACACAGGATCGTACAAACATGACGGAAATGCACTGGTTAGTAAAACACAAGCACACATCAAAGAATATCATAATTTAGCAAGCCCCCACTAGAGGCCGACCGAAATTCGGTTTCGGTTTCAGCGCCGAAAGTTAGCAAATGGCCACTTTCGGAATACTTTCGGTTTCGGCCGAAAGTTAATTTTTAACTTTCGGTTTCTGCCGAAAGTAAATTTTTAACTTTCGATCTGGTTTCGGCCGAAACTGATATTGACTTTCAGTCGTCAACCGAAGATCTATTTTTAGAATATAACGCTAGGCAATCCTATGCGAGAAGCTGCAAACACACACGTCAGCAGCAGCAGTTTGGGAGCGAGGTTACAGCCGCAACCATTGTCTACTAATATTTATAGTTTATACGACCGGTCAACAGATGGCAGCCTGTCTGGCTGAATGCGGAACAACTGTTGTTTCTTAACTACAATATTCGTTTGTTTGGATATAATTACTAAGTACAGTAAGTAACACCTAAAGATTTGATATTTAGCGACTCTTACTGCAGGCTCTGAATGATTAGTTCTAGATTTCTTTTTAATTAAAGTAGCATTGCATCATGACATCTACATATATAAAAAAGGCAAAGTTGTGATTATGTGTCTGTTCAAAATGTTTAGCGTACTTCCCGACATGCAAAAAACTTGAAATTTGCCATGTGGATACTTTCCAGACTGTACACCATGCAAAAATTATAAAAATAGACTTTTGTATATTTTTTTGAGGGGGGGCGCAATAATGAATATATTTTGCACGGCAAGTGAGCTGTGACGTCAAATCTGTCATGTGACCCGCGCATGTGGAAGCGTAACGCATTGTAGTGTAGCGGTTAGCGCGCTGCGCTACGAACCCGGCGACCCGAGTTCGATTCCCGCTCACGGCCACCACCGGTGACGATTATGTTAACCGGTCCTAGGCCTCCCCTAGGTCGACTCAGCCTCAAACGAGTAAGTGGTGTGGTGTGTGAACGGCGCCACTGGAGAGACAAAGGCGGCCGGGCGTCGTGAATCCAAGTCCCGGGCGAAGCTGGGTAGTAAAGCTAGTAATATATAAAAAGGAAATTTGTGAATATGTGTGTCTGCTCGAAATGTTTAGTGTACTTCCCGACATGCAACCAACTTATATTAAATGGGAATAGGCCGATTCTAAAGGAATCTACAACCTTCGCTTCCTTTGCGTGATTTAAAGATTTCGAATCTTGGCGCACTTGGGTTTTATTTTATTTTAAATTAATGAGTTTCTTTTTATTTGTACATATTTTAAAGTTTTGAGAAGTTTTAAAATATATTTTTCCCCCGGGCAACGCCGAGTATTTGCCGCTAGTATTTCAGAAATCTTGTGTTCGGTAACTTCGGTTATATACCTTTCTGTTTCGGTCGAAAGTATAGTTAAATTTTGTTTCGGCCGAAAGTAAATTTTGTACTTTCGGTCTGGTTTCGGTTTCAGCCAAAATCAGAAATTCAGTTTCGGTCGGCCTCTAGCCCCCACGCTACATTTCCGTTCTAAAGTTATTGTAATTTGTATTCCCATCAGATGATGTCTCCATTCGCCATTGACCATTTTTGCAATTGCTTTCTACTGAATATTTCTGCATGAAAAACTGTTCATGTGTCAATTCACAAGTGTTCATGCATCTGTTGTTGCCCCTCACCGCAAGGCATTGTGTCCATCGGCAGTGGACAGCACCTCCTCATCCTTGATGGTCGTCCAATCAAACTGCAGCCCAGCAAGGGTGGTAAACGTGTTTCCTGTAAAGGTGGAATTCAGGGAGGTGGAAAAGTGATTTGAACGTGATGTCACGTTACAGCAGCAAGGAAAAGCCTTGCTTGTGCAAACATTTTACAACACAAACAACATTAAGGTTATATCGAATTGCTCCAAAATGCCTATTACCAAGTCACTCAGATTGCACCAGATCTTGGAAGATCTCGGAAGCTAAGCAGCTTTAAGCTTAGATAATGCTTGGATGGGTGACCACTATGCACGAATCGGCTGGCGTTGGGCTGCCGCAGGGCTGCCGCAGGGCTGCCTAGTGGGCAGTGCAGCAAAATACTGTACACTGTTACACTGTACTTCTATAATCTCATCTTCATGAACTTGCACTGACCAGCAGTGGATCGACAAAAAAGTGATAAATGTACATGTATCCCTAATGTGTACAGGATCTTGAGTAGTAATTACATTTGAAAACTTCAAAAGGTCCACATGTATATTGCAATGTACATTAATCTCAACTATTTGTATTTTACCAGTAAGGCCCATTGAGTTATATAGCTCTTTTTCAGAAGTGTGTCACAAATGAGGGCTCAACAGCTATCATGTGGAAATGCATTGCAGCCAAATACTCTAAATGTATGTTTATAAATTATGATTAATAATAAAATTCCTTCATCAGTCCACTGTTGAATAGAGGCCTCTCCATTCAGAGACAGTTCTGGTGGTTTGACCATACTTCACCAGGCTGGTCAGTGTGTGTTCACAAAGGCAGTTGCACCAGGACCGGTTCAGACATGACTCGCCACCTATGTTAGCGATGGCCATGAATCAAATTCCGGTTGCCCTGTGGAATTTGTCAAACAGCAGAGTGCTCTCACCCTCGCGGTCGCCGGCCTGGATGGTGAGTTCCAGTGGAGAGTCGTCGAGGTAGAGTTCTCTCGTTGTCGAGACGATCTGGATGTGCTGGATAGTGTCGACGATCACATCGCACCGTAAAACTTGGCCCGACACTACAGGGGGGAAGAGCGGTGGGCGCACGTAAGGAAAATTATCACAACGTCGCACGTTTCACAGTACCGAGCAAAAACGAACAAAAAAAATATCCTACCACTTCCGTAAATGAATGGAAACTCATAAGACAGAAAATGTATGTGCAGTCTAGCAACAAAGGAGAAAATCATTCTATACGCAAAATGTGATTTCCAAACGGCACAAGAGGAATAATTTTGACTATAGGATTGAGCTTCCCATCATGCCTTACACATAAAAAAGGACAAAAAAGATTTATCTGTCACTGGAAACATCTTAGGCACATTAATGAGATACTAGAGGAGATTCATTTTTGAGGCCTCTTGCAGTGAAAAGGTTCCTCACCCCTGGTCTACAGCCTGAGCCTGAGTAGAAGATGCGTCTAGACCAAGTGGTCAGGGTGAAGGGATTCCAGACAACGGAGATCATAGCCGAGATTGAGTGACCTCGAATTGAGCAAAGTTTGACCGGCGCAGATTGCTCGAATCTTGTGACCCATCCACTATCCGTGAAAGCAATAACCAGGTGGGAGCAGGTGAAAGGTGTGTGTGTGGCTGCCCACCTGTGTCCTCAGCAATGACGATGGTGGTGAGGCGGGTGTGCTGGGCGGCGCGGGCCGACACCACGGCGCGGCTGGAGCACCGCTGCCCTGCATCGTCGGTACTGTACACGGCCTCCACGCTCGCAACCTCAGGCCGGGACGACTGCCTGGAGGGCAGCAAAATAGCAGACATCAAGAATGCCTCAGGCACATACGAGTGGAGTAGATAACATGAATATATCGCACAAATGGTTATTCGAGAACCAAATTTGGCACGTATTATCGCATAAGGTAATTTTATAAGAAAACATCGTTAGTCACCTAAAAATTATAGACGGATACCATTTTTCCAAGATGGCTACCATTTTTGATGGTGGCCATCTATGATTGTGGCAACAATAACATTTTTAAGTGGCTTACGTTCTTTTCTGAAAAATATACACCATTGTGAAGATAGCAATCATACGTCATGCTGTATTAAAATGAAAACGATTCCTGTGATAAAATTCAAGTGGCTAGCAACACTCAAGAATTATTGTGTAGGCCGCCAGCTGACTTGGGGGGGTTAGGTAATTGTACAGTATATATCACAGTGGTGGAGCAATAAAGCAGTTGTTAGTGCACTTCACCATAAATCTGGTGACCCGAGTTTAATTGCTGGCCAAGGATGATATCAGTGGTGACATCTGAACTAGTCCCATCATCATGCCCAACTGACTAACGTGGTGAAGTATGGTCAAGAAACCCCCGTGACCGATTAGGTCTGACTAGGCTTTCATCCAGCAGTGGCTGGACACGGGCTGTAAAGTGTCAAGGCAGGTCTCCGTTGTGCTCACCGAACCGCACCTCCGATTAGCACGGTTGGCTACGTACGGAGTGAAAGACGTTCGACATACATACATGCCTTCTGGCCACACCCTTCTGTGAGACAGACCCCGTGAAACAGCAATGGGCCAGCTCATAAACCGCAAATAAATGCAAAATTTCCCTTCCCTATTATCCAGCCATTGCTTTTGCTTGCTGCTGATAAAGGCCCTTCCCTGCCACAGCCAAGCCTGAGCAGTGGGCAACTTCCTGTGACACGCCTCCCACCAACACGCGTGGCCAACAAACCAGGTGTAATTTTTCAGCCCCGCCATGCACGCGAGCTGGATTAACTGTTAACGGCCATATTGCTACTGTGTAACTAAAACCCCCACGAGTGAAATTGAGCCTTTGGCGTGCACTACAATCAGACCTAGGGTAAATTACAATGATGTCATTCTTAATGGTTTTCAATCACAATGGAATTATGCTTTCACCGAAGATTGTTGCTGTTATTGTAATAATAACTAATCACAGGTCCGATTGAAAGCGGCACATCCCCAGTAGCCATCAACGCTCCTGTTACAGTTCTGACACGGATGCCTGCTCATCAGCTGCACTATTCTTCCCCCATAGCCCCACATATATAATCCAGAGTGCCAGCTTCAATTTAATTTAGTTACCAGTCTAGGGAATTCTATTGCACCGTGGAGTTCATGCTTGATTCTCTGCCAAGTGAACACATGTGTAACATTTCAAGTTAATTATATTACCCTCTACGCTTCTGTTATTGCAAAGGGCTGTATTTATATTTCTAAACTAAACCCAGCTGCGGCTTCTTCTACACTGCTACTGGTGCCAATTACAGTTAAACTCTCAATTTTCCGAGGGCGGATTACCTTGTTTGGGGATTAACCACGCTTGAATGAGATGAGTATAAAAGCTGCTTCTCACTCGTTGGGAGTCAGCGACTCGGTGGCCACGTGACCACAACATGTTGGCAGGTACATTATTAGTTAAAAACAACACAAAGACAACGCATTCTACAATATATCTTCACCCCCCCCCCTCCCAGTCTACGTAAGAAACGAAAGACCTCTTTACAGCCCTAATATATAAACGTTTTACGTTATCCGTGTTTTTGGCTACCACTCCCACCCATAACCCCAGACAATCGATGGCAGGTGCCAAGGAACGTCGTCAATTTCCTAAGCATCTGTCTCCATTCTTGGGACAGACTCCTGCACTTAACAAAGCTGTTCCTGTCACTTCAACGCACTCCTCCTGACACCACAGTTCCCTTGCCTGCAGCTGCGAGCCGTCAACTCCTGCACTCACCCATTAGTACAGCGTTGAGAAGAACCGTTTATCTTGGGGGTGAAAAGGCATCTTGATATGTAGTAGTGGCCTAATCATTTATTTAGAGCGTACTGTAATTGTGTGTGCTCGAGTTACATGCACGTCATTGCAGAATGCACAATTGTATAATTATACTGTAGAGTCCTCTGTGTAAAGCCACTGATAGATGAAGGCCTCACCTCAAGCCCTGTCATGTAAGTTGCTTGACCATACTTCACCACACTGGTGAAGGGAAGGGGACCAGGACTGGTTCAGCGATCAAAAAGCCACCGATTTTATACCTGGCTGGCTATCGAACTCAGCAGGTCGGGTCCATTGTGCAATGTATACAGTACATGTATGTTGACATTCTTTCGCGACCTACGTAACCAACCGTGCTAATCTAATCGGAGGTGCGGGGGAAGGACGACAAACTAAACACAGAAAGCAGTGGTGTACATTCATACACACTGCGTAATGGTGTGCACTTACACACGGAGTTAAATTGTGGCAGATGCCAGTCACGTCTATCCATTTCGCAGGCATTTAACCTTTCATAGATAGGGGGGGTCTTCAACATATCGTGCAAACATAATAATTAACTCAGAAGATGGCTTAAGCGAGCTCAGTCAACCAAATATCAGTGGCAGGTCGCTAATTATACTCTGCTGACCTCCCCCACCACTTGTCTGGAATCGTCTTTCCTCCCCCATCAGTTTCGCGCTAACGCTTCTCTTACCACTTCCACTCCTCTTTATGAATTTCTGCAGTCACTAAAGCTTTAAGTCAACAACACATATGCCCAGTTTCTTCACTGCGTCTTGACACGCGTGTCCCATTTAGACGCTGGAGTAAACCCGTGTCGAATGCTATTGTAGTGTCGAAAAATATTTCACACCACGCAGCAAAGCACTCGAGTGTCTCGTTACAGCAGATGCGGTGCCTATAAGTGGCATACTTATCTCGCAAGTTACACGTGGGGTGTACAAAGAGAGAATTGGGCAGTACTGTACACACACGTGGGGCGATAGATGAACACTGTACACACCACACGGACGCTATGGACAATACCGTACTGTACACACACACGTGTGTGTACACGTGTGTGTGTACATCATCTTAGTCAGTCGACCCGTGGCAATTGGGTCTGCCCCGTGACCTCCTGCCAGCGGGCGTTCGACACTTCACGTGGCCTCAAGGTGCACCTAGCCTGGCACAAGCGTCGTGGTGATGTCACCGCCACGTAGTGGCGAATGGCGGTTGTTGTGTGTACAGTGTACACCATTAGGGACACAAACATTAAACACTGTAAACAGATGGCCGTGAAAGATGGGAAACACCGTACTGTACACGTACACGTGGGGTGACATTGGGAATACACAAACACATGAGTGTACAGGACGGGTTAGGCTACGCGAGAAACAGTTGACACAACAACAACACACCAACAACAGCCGCCAATCACGGCGGTTGGTGCCAGGCTAGGTGCGCTTAGGGCACCGCACCGACCCTACAGGTCACGGCGACAGATCCAGCCCGGATGTTAATGGGTTTAACCGACCGCGATGAATGAAAGATGCACATACACACCATCTGTAGCAGCCGCTCTCCGCCTCCAAGGTATAGTTGATCTGCGAGGCGCCCGCGTACGGCAGCAGGATCTTGGGCACGTTCAGTTTCGACGTTTCGGTCCCGCTCGCCAACAGCAGCAACAGCAGCGCCGACAGAAACAGCGGCAGTCCAGGACGAGTCGGACGGCGGCGACCGATGAGGCGGTCGCCGCGGCGTGGCCAGGCCTCTCCCGCCGGCGGCATTGCTCCTTCCTCCCCGCTCCTCGTGTGTGGCGTTCAAATAATTTTTGAATGAAAACACAAATCTCACGTCGGGTGAGACCGACCGACCTTGACGAGGTGGCGATCACCTCAGCACGCACGAAATCGGCGCGGACTATGACGGTGGTGGTGAGGAATAACGGTGCCGCGGCTGCGTGAGGAGAGACGACGCGAAGCGTCCTCCTCCTCCCCCCTCGTCCTCTATTAACTCTCGTTACCGCCACCAACAGCCTCGGGCAACGCGTGCTCTCGCCACAATTAGAACTCCCAGCCCGGATAAGCTGCGATGGAGGGGGCCTCCCTCCTCCCGTCTCCTCCTCGTTGCGACAGCGGAGCCGCGCCACTCGAGCTGATTGGCTCCCCCCCACCCGTGGAGCCAATGCGCGCTGGAGAATGTGAAGCGGTTCTTGGAGGGGGGTGGGGCTAGGGGGGGTTTCCCGCGCGCGAGACGCGTCACGCGCGCCAGAGAGGTTTTGGCGCCAAAAAAAATTAAATGCGATTTGCCGGCCTCCCCCCTACTCTACTCCACTCACGCATGGATTTTATTTTAGAATGAAAATAAAATATTATAAATGCATTATCGGTTATTGCCTGAGAAGGATTGGGGGGTGAGGAGGAGGATAGAGGGTGGCACCAGAAAATGAATCGATACCCCTCAGGAAAAAATAACAAAATATAATGTACAGTATATGTTTGACATTATATCATCAGCAATTGTCTACCCACTGATGGATATTTGCTGAACGTTATCTGCGGTGGGCGTCTTCATTGTTGACCTGTCTCGTCCATCGTAATGTTTTAGTCGAGGTCACTACACACAGTGACCGATTTATATTTAACCCCCACTAAGATAACAGTAAAACAATGATTTAAAAACATATTATTGGTTCTTTCGGTAAAGTCACGTAGAAGGGAAACAAAAAAAATATACAAAATAAAATTCTCACGACGTTTCGACTGCAACACAAGCAATCATCATCTGTCAGCTTAAGAAGCAACGCTGCTCTGGTAAATACCCACGCACTATTAACTAAAGGGTGAACACAACTCCTTCCCCATAGTTAATTAATAGTAACAATAACCTCGGATATTGTTCTGCTTGTTTCCCGTAGAAAGGCTGCGAGTAAAGGTATACGTGTCGGGTGGTGGTTGGTTCAACTACACATTTATATATTTACACGATCTAATCCAAAAAAAAACCTGGATTATGAAAGGCAGACTACTCGTGGAGATGACCCTTACAGGATTTGAACCCTGGGAGACAGCTACCACTACAATAACTAGAGCTGATAGACTACAATAACTAGAGCTGGTACACTACAATAACTAGAGCTGATACACTACAATAACTAGAGCTGATACACTACAATAACTAGAGCTGAGACACAATAACTAGAGCTGAGACACTACAATAACTAGAGCTGAGACACTACAATAACTAGGGCTGAGACACTACAATAACTAGAGCTGATACACTACAATAACTAGGGCTGATACACTACAATAACTAGGGCTGAGACACTACAATAACTAGGGCTGAGACACTACAATAACTAGAGCTGAGACACTACAATAACTAGAGCTGATACACTACAATAACTAGAGCTGATACACTACAATAACTAGAGCTGATACACTACAATAACTAGAGCTGATACACTACAATAACTAGAGCTGAGACACTACAATAACTAGGGCTGATACACTACAATAACTACAGCTGATACACTACAATAACTAGGGCTGAGACACTACAATAACTAGGGCTGATACACTACAATAACTAGAGCTGATACACTACAATAACTAGAGCTGAGACACTACAATAACTAGAGCTGATACACTACAATAACTAGAGCTGAGACACTACAATAACTAGAGCTGATACATTACAATAACTAGAGCTGAGACACTACAATAACTAGAGCTGATTACACTACAATAACTAGAGCTGATACACTACAATAACTATAGCTGAGACACTACAATAACTAGGGCTGATACACTACAATAACTAGAGCTGATACACTACAATAACTAGAGCTGATACACTACAATAACTAGAGCTGAGACACTACAATAACTAGAGCTGATACACTACAATAACTAGAGCTGAGACACAATAACTAGAGCTGATACACTACAATAACTAGAGCTGATACACTACAATAACTAGAGCAGAGACACTACAATAACTAGGGCTGAGACACTACAATAACTAGAGCTGAGACACTACAACAACTTGAGCCGAGTGTATTCCTGTACTGTATTTACAACGGGTAGACAACAAAAATCGTGAGAATCCACAGCACGGCCGTGAGACGCTCAACATCGTGTGAAACTGCGAGGTTTGAGGGTGATCAGTGAGACTTGACATGTAGTGGTGCCAGGAGGGGCTGGGAGTGTACTTTGCAGCTATCGGTAGTGCTGGGTGGGTACAGTCTGGAGTGTGTGGGGCGATTTCACAACCACGATTCCTGAGAGCTATACATATAAGACTAGCCTTTCGCCCGTGCAATACATCTGAAACTTGCAAGCGAAAAGCAGATCGCGGCGTGATATTCATTGCATTAATGCGTGTAAGGGCGCGGTGACACAGACCTCCATTTTAAGGTTAAAATCCCTTGTTCATCACGTCCTTTTTACTTTGATGTCTCAATAGCGTTACGGAGATGGCGTGACGTGAGGGTTCTGCCTTTGTAGTGAGGGTTGTAAGTTGACGCCGATGAGGGGGGAGGAGGCGCCTCGGCCCCCCATGTGGAGTGACGAAATGCTAATTATTATGAATGGGGGGGGGGGAGGGTCCATTTGGAGGACATGACTTTATGATTATTAATGAGGGGGACTGGTCGATGTGGAGGGACGTCATTAACGTTGACAGACATTCCTGGGTGATTATAGTAGGTATAAAGTTAACTGCCACTAAGAAAAGTTTCAGCTGACTTCGCTTCTTCAAAAAAACTCTCAGCAGCAGCTACTAACGTCTTAATTTAATTACCATATAAGACACCAATGACTCATCATCAGCCATGAAACATCCAATGCTGTTGAAAGTTGCCAGGAATTAAAAGCTGAAATACCACTGTTACAGCCTTTTATTGGCCAATAAACAAGCTGCCCATATAGCGACAGAGAAAACGTTGTCTAACAGGTGGCACTTTGTGCATTCATCAGTTTGAATCTCTAAGGAGCACAACAGCATTCACTCTCGGAGCTAACTACTCGAGGTGAGGTGAACGGGCACCAATTGCTCAATATTTGCGATTCTATATATATCAAGGTCTTATTAGTAAATTAACGAGTCCTTACATAAAAGGAAACGAGAGCACCCGGAGATAACCTATACGTCTAAGGGGGAAACACTATCCTCGACATAAGTCGAATCCACGTTTATTTTCTTTCTTCTCTAAGCATACTTTTTTGGTCCATTAGCAAGTTTGCTATTTCAGACCAATATAAAGCTTTTGTGGAATAAAATACTAGGTATTTTAAACCTGCACAAGTTCTGGGTTATTCAGAATTAAGTTCCAAATTTTCACCCCGATTGTTTCAAATATAAAGCACTGTTGTCCATAAGTTTTTTTTGGGTTAATTGCGTAAATGTCGTTAAACCCACCACAGCCAATTAGTAAGTTGTCACAAACATGCCAATTCGTTACTAGTACAGCTCACCGGTGTTTTCGAGCCAAGCAACATTTACAATCGGAGTACGTTTCGCCAGTAATTACAACTAGCTTCATCAAGCGACAGCCAGATTTGTGGCTGTCGGTGGGTTTAAAGACATTTGTGTCTTTAGACCCACCCACAGCCTACGTGTTAAACAATTGGTGATAATCACGGGCAGTGGACATCACGTGGGGTGGCGGGAAAGTACACTTGGCTCATCTCCGCTTCGTCACTCGACTGCTTAACACTGGAAATGCTTGGTTTTTCAGTGGCTGTCAAGTCATGGTGCGCATGTGGGTCGTTAGTCTGCTCCCCTTTACATGTTGCTGATTTTACATGTTATGGCCACTTTTTTAAATTGCCGTTGTAATGCATGTTGCAACAAACCATTAGATGCCAAGGGTTTTAGCACAAAACGTGGCTAATCCTCATTCCTCCCAAAGTCCCTTCTATACTGTTCAGCGTTCTCTGCGGTTGGCTTTGTAACTGCCTCCCAGTATTTCAACGTTCCTACATAACCATCAGTTAAAAAAACATCCATTATTTGCTCGACTCAAGTGCTCTATGCTGGACACCATGTGCAAGACTTTCAGGCTTGCGCTCCATGACAATTATAAAACCAAGTATGGTGTATTCTCACTTTAATGTTCAATTTCTTTAAGAAAACCACTGGGTGCAATTAAACAAAATAAAAAAAACAAGTTTCAGAGGACAGCTTTATTTCTCCAAATTCACAAGGCAACACATCCCAGGCTCATGCGGGTAAGCGGCAGAAAATGTGTGCCCAGTTGAGGACAGTTGTCTCTTCTTACGCGGCGTGCAGTGCCCGCCACTTGTTCAGGGGCCCGTGGTTTGGCATGTACTTGACACCCACACCATCGGGCATCACCGTCTTTTCAGCCAGCATTGCCTCAAAGTCTTTGCTGTCGAATTTGGTAAAGCCCCACTTCTTTGAGACGTGGATCTGTGGCACAAAGTAAGACCGTGTGTTAGTGTGCTTTACACAATTGAAGACACTAGGACAAGTTCAACTCATTGACATTAATACAATTACTTATATACCCAGACTCCTTTTCAGGAAGGTTTTGCATTGGAATATATGGCCAGAACCAATAATATTGTATGTTTTTCGCTATGGGGCAAAACCAGATAACCAACCCAATGGAAAACCATGCAAAATAGACCATACAAATGCAGGGTGAACCATACAAGCTAAATATACAAACTTACTGTCCAACAATTGATCATTTACAAAACTTTAATGTTACTTATAACTCAAGAACTAAAAGTAACATGATACATTACAAACTAGCAAGAATATTTTTTTACAAAGTGCAGTTTTTTCAGACATGACCTGACATTAACAGTACGCCAAAGGTTTGAGCAATTGGTTACTTGCGATGGTTCGCTATAAACACCTTTTCATGGACAGCTAAAGTATAAATACTATTTTTTACATGCTGAAATATATTTGTTCCATCATGGCACTTGAGAACTACAAGCATGAGGACAGCCATGTGCATAACAGCTTTCTTGTGTAAACAGCCACAATGGGGTAAGGCACTGCAAATAATATACATTTTTAAATTCGATGGGTGTTGTGACTTTCACCTTCTGGCGACCCGGGAACTTGAACTTGGCGCGACGGAAAGCCTCTACCACGTGCTCTTTGTTGTTGGGCTTGGTGCGCACCGACATGATGGGCTGGCCGATCGACACGCGCGCCACTGTGCCCTGAGGCTTACCGAAGGCTCCGCGCATCCCTGTTTGCAGCCTGGAGAATGTACAAGACAGAACGGTTCCAGCAATTATGTCATCTGCAAACACCACCCTCTTTATGTACATCATGCACATTTGTTTAGCGGCCAGAGCACATGGAACACTAAAGAAACGAATGAACCATACATTTTAAAAACTAACTTAACACCTGTAAGAATATTAATCTTGGATGTGAAAATAAAGGCGGAAAGTGGGCCCACACATTACATTTGTCTACAATGTTTTATATATATTTAAATGTCACATTATGTATGCACTGTCTCCATGGTCCCTAAGAGTTTCGTACAAGGAACGAAGATCTTACACAAACCAAGGAGTCTGTTTGTTTTATGCACCCATTGCACACTACCAATCAATTGAACAAAAGGTAGTCGGCTTAATTGAGTGCAAATCCACACCTAATTGCATAGACATCAAAAATGTAAATAAATCCATATCGGTGGGAGAAACGCCAATCCAATAATATTTTAGCTTAACTGTTGATTTAAAAAAAATTGTAAATGCAGCATCGATTCAAATATTTCGAATATATTCGGCAAAATTCAGCCTACAAATATGTATTCAACCACGGCGATCCAGCTTTCACAACCAGTTTAAAATGATGAAACAAATGTCGTGTAACCTGCCATCGCCCTTGCCACATGGCGTCCTGGCACTGACCTATCAGCGCCTGCACAGGACAACATCTTGTTGATGCGGATGACGTGGAAGGGATGCAGCCGCATGCGGATATGGAAGCCGTCCTTGCCGCACGTCTTCACCATGTACTTGTTGGCACAGATACGGGCGGCTTCGAGCGCTGGCATAATCACACAAAAACTGAAATCACTACAATTCTCACAGGAATTTATAAAAATTGAATTTATACAGCGCCAACTAAACGTGATTGCATCTCAAAAATGCTGTACAATATTTAATGATAAATGTTGTTCGTTTATAAGCAGATAAAAAAAATGCCAAACAGTAAAAAAACGTTATGCTGCAACAACGCGATGATGGTTGTTTATTTGTCAGCTTGGAATATGCGTGTCAACTTGCTAATCCTGTAACCAGGTGATCCACTACTAATTACTAAGTCAGTTGGACAACTTTCTTCAGAAGGGTCCTACATAGTTATTTTTTATAAAGCATTTTTTTGTGTAGTCCAAAATCCAACTGCACAGACAAGCTCACTTAACCCATCTGCTGTAATGCTCTTCCCCCGTGTCATCTCAAGTCCCTTTTGCCTATAGTGTCCTTCCCCACATCTTACAAAGCTTTCTCTCCACTTTCCCTACTACAAACAGAAAACAAATCCTTGAAACTATGTAGATGTATGTTTTACTATTTGTACAGCACCCCGTGCCATTTCCTCTCCACTACACAGCCTAGTGGGTTTATTTCTAATCACACCATTCTTAAGTGCAAGGCTATCTCACATAGGCGCTGTGGTTTCCAGACGAGTATAGTCGCCTTTAGGCGGCAATGCTGGTATGTGGTTCTATTTAATTTGAAATAAAAACTAATTTGGACCATGATACGAGCACACAGCCTACTAGTTACGACCTATGCAAAAAGGAGCAAACCTGAGCCCACCCGGCCATGTCACTGCACCAAAATAATAAAAAAAATTGCACCAAAGTATATGTACGCGTTGCTTACATTTTTTTAATATACTGAACGTTTTATAAAGAGACAGGATATTGGGCGCTCACCCTCCGAGGAGAGCTGCTCGCACTCATCTGACACCATGTGCGCGCATAGCGGGAACTCTTCCACGCGGGCCTTCTTGCGCCCGAGGTCGAAGATCCTGATCTTGGGATCTAAGAGAGGTAAGTGGCAAGGATCGGTCATCATTCACTACAAATACGTATGACTTAATGTGCACACTGCTTGTGTATAGGTAATTAAATCAGTATATATACATGTGCAAGTACATCCCTTTAGAAATACATTGTTTGAGGCCCCCTACACTGTAGGCTTTGGTGGTTATTTCACCACGCTGGTGACTATGGGAATAGACGTTGTAGCAAAGTAAAAGCCAAAAGATTATTCTGCACTGAACCGTGAAAATTTCTGCTGTGCTTGGTGGCCACCAAATCACGACGAAAGTAAAATTTTTGCTAGTTAACTTCCGTGATTTGGATATATAGGGTGCATGCTGGGTGATTTAGTCGTAGGTACTTGTGTACAGGCCATACCACGTCTTTTAGCTAGGAAGGATTCTCCGAGCCCCAGAGTTATATTTCAGGGCAGCCATGCATTGCGTTGACATACTTTGACATTGTTAAGTAAATCTAACCTCCATGCATCTCAGACAACACACATCAAAGTGAAATTGGGCTCTGACGTGTGTAGTCTGAGATGCATGGAGGTGCTCTGTTTCCAAGGTCCCTTTAGGACTCCGTATATGTGACGGAGATCTTACACAAACCAAGGGGTTTGATATGCGCACCAACGAACACCAACAACCAATTAAATGAAGGTCGGTTTGTTCAAGTGCAAAATGAGGTTAACGAGGGTCCACCACATTACAGGGTCCATGTTTTGGCCACCAGAGGGCAGTGCAGCAAAAACCGTTGTACTTTATTTTATTCTGTCTATGCTCCGTAATGAACAGCGTGAAGTACAGTATGGTTTAAAAAAATCACTTCCACAACTAAGACGGCGTGGCGAGGCACTAATCTAGCAGTGTGACCATGGGATCGTACACGTACTTAAATGAATCCCTTCGCAACAATTACCGCAATTTCGGTGCACATTAGGAGAGTTAATGAGCTTATTGCTATTAAAAGTAGAACCATTTACATACGCTAACCTTAATTACACGTGATGTTTGTCCCATTAAAGGTATTAGACGCGCCACCCAATTGCCCTCATGTGCAGGGCCCCTTTTGTAAAATTACTGCTGGATCGGGACCAACCACACGTCGCGGGTCAAACAAGGGGATTATTTGACCATACTTCACCACGCTGGTCAGTGCGGGAAGCACAGACGCGACATAAGAACATCACCGCACAATGACTTTCGCCGCATCGCCCTGTGCCGCCAACGCCTACTTCATTTGTGGCATTGCATTTCAGCCGCATTTGATCTGGAACGTTACACAACCGCGTCGCAGCTCGGCACCCCTTATAGGAGCGCTATTTTAATTTCCGATCATATTCATTTGGGGAGTTTTAATTCGAGCACTCACCGGGCACACCGCGACAGAAGCGAGACTTCGGGTAGGGCTTGTTCTTGCAGTATCTGTAACTATAAAACACACGCACGCACGGGCTTGTTTCTCGCAGAAATGAGCATTGTAGTCTGTATGAACACGTTTTAATTGGACGCATGCCACCCAGCAAACATAGCAGCATATTAAAATTTTACAGATACTGGCTAATACTTGGGATGTATTTTTTTACGCTTGCCCGAGGGGAAGCCGCCATTTAGCACTTAACGCTGGAGAGCCAGGATTCCACTTTGCTATAACGGGGGGTTACGTCGAGGTATATGGACAGCCTTTGTGCCAATCCACTGCTGGATGAGGGCCTCCCTGTGCCGTGGGTGTCTTATTTGACCATATTTCACCACACCGTTCAACGCGGCCTAGCAGACGTTGGGAGCGTAGTACAATGCAACATATATTGCTATAGTATACTGCCGTTGCCTTCAACGCGACGGCGCAACAGCCTATAGCACCTACTTCATGAATGCTCGCTCATTCAAGTCTTAAACAGGCCACATCTGCTTAGCTTCCGAGGAATTGTAACGCGACTTGGTCTAAAGGCGTGCCCATTCATAAATATACTCGCTACAGTATACTTTGCCGTACTATAAACCGGCCAAAGTTGTCAAACTCTTTAACAGGCATCACGAGTGCAAAGGCGAACGCAAAAATCCTAATTGTAACTAAAGTGGAACTTTAGACTCGAGGCCTTGTGGCGGGACTAAGGCCTACTCACCAGCGAGCGGGACGGCGACCCATCTTGGTAGATCGCCTGGCGGGGCAGACAAGAAATAAGAACAAATAAATATTGGTGCCATGTTAGAGCACCTATTTGTAAAATCGCACGATTGATTATCGGTAACGCGGTCGTGATGTTTAAGGATTTCAACGGCGACTACCGACAACCACTGCAGCCATCTTACCTCGCCCGACGGAAAGGATTGTGGGTGGCCGCCGGAAGCTTCAAGGAGTCACGGACGAAACCATTTGGCGATGAAAGGGGGAGACCACTCTTAATTCATTTTCCCCGCAATTGTGTAAATATTTATGCTTGATTATTTCACCAGCGCTAACATAATAGTAATGTAATTCTTTCGTTATTTAACAGTTTATATTATTCGCAATTCCCCTTTTATGACGTTTTACCGATTGTTGCTTTGCAGAGTAAATAATTAACCCCTATTTTTGCATCGACAATGCGCTCGCCTGTACGTGCTCGGGACGTCATCGCTCACCGTTATGATGACGTCATGTCGTATTCAGCGTGCGTCGTGTCACCTTGCGCGGTGACGCTAAGGCACGATGTGTGACGTTGCTCAGCCACGTTCTATCCACTGTTGGCTTCTATTCTTGCAGTACACATAGCTGACAACCCCTTATCAAACCAATGCAGACCTTATTGGTCACCCGTGCCCTTATACATCTCAACGTTCATCCTACAAAGTCACATCACAAGGGAGAAAGGGCCGTCCATAAATGACGTCACGCACCTGAAGGGGGGGGGGGGTCAGACATTTTTGACGATGTGCGACGAGGGGGTGGGGGGGCAGAGCTCTGTGACGTCATATTTGAGGGGGGTCTGACTTTTTGTGACGCCATGTGACGAGGGGAGGGGGGGTTAAAAATCGTCCAAAATCGCGTGACGTCATTTATGGACGGCCCCAAACACAAACAAATAGACACTCACCACTACCAACCTGTCAACCCTACCTTAGCCCTACCTTATTACATACCAATTCAGACCTTATTGGTCACCCCGTGCCCCTTATAAATCTCAACGTTCATCCTACATCACAAGGGAGAGAATCACAAACAAAAAGGCATTTTCTTTGCCCGTATTGAAACGGCTGTACGCCGTACGGACCTGAAAACTCGATTGTCCTTGTACAGAGAATACGGGGTAAACCATGTGGACAGACGGTTAATCCAGTGTGGCAATTTGTTCAGGAACTTAAATGCCAATGTCGAGGTTTGCTAGCCACTAGATTACTTCAGCGGAGAGAGAGTTCGTGTAGCTTTGCTATTCCTTTGTTGAAGAAGCGCAGTTCACAGTGCTTTAAAAGACGAGTTTGAATTTAGAAACATGCGTGTTTGGCTGCTATAAATGTCCGCGTGATGCTAAGCCACTTCGTTGAGCTATCATTTGTGACCGGGGTCGCTTCTGAATAATAGTTATTGTGTATAGCTCAGTGGGCC